GCCATGTGCCTGGAGCTGACGCTGGGGCAAGGCTGTCTTTACAGACGGGTTTGGAAAATTCCCAGGCGCCTGGCCCCTGGGTATACTTCCCCGAGGGTGGATGGTAAGTACCAGCTCGCCCAGGCCTCGAGGAGGCCCCTCCCTGAAGGAGGCCCTGCTTCCTCTGCGGGTTCCCGCTGGCGTCTCAGAGTCCTGAGGCTAGGCGCAGGGCGGGCCGGCTCTTCTTCCTCGGCTGTGTTGTCCCATCCTCTCCCTCCCACTTCCCACTCCCTGCCAGTGCCTTCCCTCCTGGACACCCACCTGACAGGCACCTTGCTCCTTCGGTTTTCACCAGTTAACAAACTTTTCCTTGGAGTTGATACTACCAAGTTTTTATAAATTCAAGAAATAGAACTTTTGAAGTGGAAATGAAAGCCAGAAACATGCTACACCTGCTAAGAAGACAAGCACTTACTGTGTGGGAGTCACAATCCTAACGCTTGCTGCAGCGACCTGGGGCAGTTCCCACAGCAGCCCAGGGGCAGAGGCTCTCCTAGCCCCTGCCCTGGGGAGACAGCTCTGGATCAGGACCCAGTGGGTCATGAAATCAGTTTAGTAGGTTGCCAGCCAGCATAAAGAAAGAACAATAACTATCAGCAGTTGCATATAGTGAGGGAAAGTATTAAAAAAGAAACTTTTGTTTCGATGTGTGTGTGTGTGTGCGTGCACATACACATGTATACATATCATGTGAAATATGTTTTGTATACCCAGGACACATGTCTGCTCAGGTCTCCCAGGTGGCTCGGGCCTGTTACCACGGATACACTCCATCCTCCCGGTGGAGTCCCTGCTGTGGGTCGGGGGTCCCCCATCCTGGAGCAGTTACAGTTACATGAATTATAGGAGGGTTTGAATGTCCTATCACCAAACGTGGGTCTGACATGAATGGGCTTCTGCAGACTTACCCTTCCTTCTTCCTGCCCCCCAGTTCTGAGACCCTCCCATGTGCACCCAGCCCCAAAGAACCATTGCATTAGTGGGCACTCCTGGGAGAGCATTGATATTTGTGTGCTCCTCACCCTCTGTTCATGGAGGCTTTGGAAACCTGGAAACTTCTGGAATTCATTTCCAAAGGTGTAAATTAGCACTGCCAATTTAAAACCTACCCGCGCACTGAGGGAACCACCCATATCATTTTTCTGTTCAATGTCCCTTAAGCAGAACACTTTGAAAAGTGTTCGAATTAGTCCAATTAATTCTTGTTGGACCAGAGTATAACGGGTGCACACCTGTGTGTGCACATCTTCATTGTGGCAAGAGTCCGGGACGCACGTTCCCTTTCTTCATCATCATCATCCCCCCTCATTCCTGTGCCAGGGACTGCTAAATGCTTTGCTTGTGTTATGGAACCTTCAGCGTGGTGTGGGTGGTGGATGTGCTCCTGTCCTGGCAGGAGGTGGGCCAGACCATCTGCTGTCTGCACTGAAGACTCAGTGAGGAAAAGATGGGCCCGTGCTCCAGAGGCAAGGCTTCCAGTGCCCTGCGACACCACACGCTCTGGGGCGGCTGGAACGAGGGTGCTGTGCTCCAGGTCCTCCGACCCTGCTGTTCGCCACCACGGGCAGCTCCGCCTCTTCCCACTCCTGAAACGTCCCTTTTCTGATTTTCTCGAGATTTCTTATTCTTTTTCTGCCCGCTCCCCCTTCCCTTGCCCTTGCCCCTTACCTGTCGGTGGCGTGACCGCGTTGCTGGAATTCAGGGCTGAGGTTTGCTGGCTCGAGGCTTTCAGGTGATTCCTAGCGTGAGTTTGGAATGACTTTATGAATCTGAGTCACCGTTGAAAAAGTCATTAAATTTTTTTCTCTCTCTTGAGACATTGCAGAGTAATGTGAATATTCAAAGTGTAAGTATTGATTGGTTTTAGCGTAATGTATACACCGTGAAACGCTGACGCTCAATGAAGTCAAGAGGCCGTAGACGCTTGTGGAAGGCCTGCCGGGCCCAGGTGTTCCCACACATGTATTTATGTGGTGGTGTTTGTTTACTTTTCACCTCACTGAGGAAGTTAAAAGACAAGGTAACCACTACCACCATTAACTAATTAATTAATTAGAATAAAGAAGAGCAGATCTGCAGAACAGCTTTCTTCTTAGAGACCTGCCTCTGCTTCTGAATTCTCTGATGCTCACCAGCACCAGGAACTTCACTTTCCTCCATTATTAACAGAGGAAGGAGCCAGATACAAGTGTGGTGACCTCTGTCAGGAATTTTTCTTTTAAGTTTCTCAGTGATCTGGAGAAAGGAGGTATTCCATCAGTGCCCACCGTGGAAATATTGCCGGGAGAAATTGTGACAAATGTCACTTTGCTGCCAGCTTTTCGGGAAGAGCCCCGTTCCAGGTGTGACAAGTGGCCTTGCGAATTGTGGATCCTGGACAGTTTAGAGGATAAAAGATAAAAATTTTCTTCGTTTTTCAAAGAAATGCGAAGAGAAGTAAAAACCCTGGACACAAACAAGAGGTATCTGTTGGGCCTTCGGCCTCACACAGCATGTCTGTGATGTCTTTTAAACATCCTGTCATTGAAAATTTGAATTATGTTTAATTCTTTTTTAATGAAAAGGCTTGTTGTTTTTTCTGCTCTTTGTGGGGTGGAGAGAGGGGTTGGTCTGTATTTCCTGGACGCCATGTTAGCCTTCAGGGGTCAGAAGACTAGATCTTATTAATTGTGACAACTGACTATTTTTAACAGTAAGAGAAGTGGAAATGCTGACTTCATATTGGTTGTGAAAGAGCCTCTTTCACTCAGCTCAGCTCCTGGATCTTCTTCCAGTCGTTGTAGTGGGACCAACCCTGCCTTTTGCCCCTCTGTGGACCTTATCCTACTAGGAAACAGACCCCAATTTATGCTTTGTTATTTCTGTATGTGTAAATAAGATGAAGGAGAGCACAGGGAGAAAGACAATGGGAGGCCAGTAATACCTCCATTCTCAAAATCAGGTCTAAAAAAATATAGTGTCCCCAAGTTTTGGAGCGATAAACAACGGTCCTTGTCAAAGGCTTGGTGTGATCAGGTTGCAAAATCTAAGTCGTTAGGTCACTGTCAGGCTGACAAGAGTTCTCTTATACTTGTCTCTCCTAAAAGCTGGTATAGCTGTCCCCCTGTGCAGTGGTGAGAAGTGAGAGCAGGTGGCCCCAGTCCCCTGACTCTCGTGCCGCATGGCGGACATCCCACCGGGCCACACTGACTTGCTGGGGCCGTCTCCTTTCACAGAGCTCGCAAACAGAAAGACACAGCACATCCACTGGTGCATGGATGGGACTTGTGGTTGCTGTGAGTTGGGACAGAAACGAGAAATGGAGGCATCCAAGGGCCCCATTTGGGTTCTGTCCAGTGCTCAGCCTTTGGTACTCAAACCAAAGCATGAGAGCGGGGATTTGGTTGTTCTGGTAGCTTCTTCTCTGGTTGGTGCAGTATCTGAGCTCTGTTCAATTGTTCTTCTGCTCCAGATATTTTAAGGGCTACCCTTTCCCTTTTATGGTGTTAATTTCTATTGGCTATATAGGAAAGAGAACATTTTGTTGAAGGTAGAAAGATTTCCAAGACCTGTCCAGCTCAACCTGCTTCCCTTTTGCTGTGATGATCCAAGGCTATTAGCTCATTTCCATGTGCCTCTGAAATTCCTTCATGAATGTAAAAAGTGTGTTGGCATCCTTTTCTTAGAAGTTCAAAGGGCCTGGCTGCCTGTAAGTAAAGGGCCCACCACCAGAACCCCCTCGTGTCTCAGAGTGCACTGTAGCTTAGGGGAAGGATTCTTTCCAAAAGATTTTTTCTTTACTTCATTCCTAATTGTTTGTGTGTAAATGCATTTATGGTGGATTAAAGAAGCGATCCGGCCATCAGTGGGTAATGGTATAATTTACAGGGGCCCCGGCCAGAATGTTGAAATTGCTTACATTCTACTATTGCCACAAATGGATTACTAGAAAGGGTCTCCCTCTTTCAAAGGCAGTAAAAACAAAGAGTGATGGAAGGAGGCTTTTTTATTTTTTAAATGCACATAATCACTTCCATGTATGGCTAGTGTTGAACCAATAATGGAATATAAAATGGTGGACTGCTCACCGGATTTAATTGCGAGGGCTTTAATGCAGTAGAAGACGGCCCAGGACTGAATTCTTAAACCCAATGTAGGTAGCATCTCCACGTAAAGAATGTGTCTGAAGTGCCTAGAGATGGGGGGTGGTGTGAGACTGCCTCTTAACCGCAGACGCAGCCAGTGCTGGGATCCAGCTCCCCTGTTGTCTGTAGGGTTTGGGGGAGGGTTTCCTGGCAAATTCCTGCTTGTAAACCTTGTGTCACGTATCTTTACTAAAGGGCAACCACGTTTAGCTTGTCTGTTTTCAGTAGGTCGTGCAGACCTGCAGCACACACTCGTGGGCGTGTGGCAGGATCTGCCTGCGTCAGGGTGGGCTGCTCCCCTTCCTTCCCCTCCGGCAGGCACCCTGAGCTCCTCAGAGGGTGCGCTTTGCCTCTCAGGAATGTGGAGAGCAGTGTCTTCCTCCTTTTACTGTGTTTATTGTTGCAATCACCAGCACTGAACCAAATCGGTTATTGCAGGAAATTAAGTAGTTGTGGTTTATAAAGGAAAGCTTCGTTGACAGCATCCTGCAGGGCAGAGCACCAGCCTGGCTGCCTGGGGATGTGTGTTTAATTTCCCAGTTAACGTTTTGCATTTATCTATTATCTTGCAAAATTGTCTTTAAAAACATCAAAATACCTAAGTGAAACATGCATCGTCTTCCCCTAAAGTTGACTGGCAGGCCCTCCTCATGAAGGAACCTCATGGTTCCTTCCTTTGTAAAAGAGATGAAATTAAAATGAAATTTAAAAGCGTCAACAACGTTAATATACTTCAGAGACTAACTTTTTCTAACAGGAAAGGCTCTCCATCATTAAACTTGTTAGGCCAAGGAAACCTACCAGTTTTTTGCTTACTGGATCTTCTCCTTTCTTAAGGTTCGCCATCGATGGTGTGAACTTGTTGTTAAGCACAAATACACAGAAGCGTACGGAAACGTGGAGAGGTTCCTTCAGGAGGATCAGGTAAGTTTCAGTTTTCAGCAGATGGGGATTCTTCACATGCTGTTCCCTGACTATGCAGTAGACATAACACGGGCACCCAAGTTGTCGACATCTCTATTTAAATAACGAATATTTAAACATTTTTCAAGGATTTTAAAGAGTTGTTAGGTGCTTACCTACCAGACTTTTGAGCTGATTTTTTTCCTCTGTCTTTGTATCCCATTGAATCATGTCCCTTAGAAGCTCCCTTGGTTTGACGTAACTGTGGCCCACTGCCGTTACCAAATGAAGCATGGGCAGACCTCGTGAGCTTTCTTCATCTTTGAACCTCAGATTCATTAGGTCAAGGTTGTGGCTTAGTGATGCCATGGTGTGTACCTGTGCCTTCAGTGGGCCTCACTTAAAGTATGTATGAAGATTAGACTGGGAGAGCCCCAGCTGGCTGGGACAGTCTGGTCTGTATCTGCACGTGCCACACCAAGTGGAACCCTGTGCTGAGATTCCTTCCCGTGAGAACTTTCCTCACTGTTCACCAGGGAAAGCGATCACCTTGCAAGGAGCCCACAGGAAGCACGTGCGTGCACGAACCCGTTGGAAGACGTTTTCCTTGCCGCCTCTGCTGGGCCGCAGCCTGTGGGGGTCAGCACCCCGCCACACCATGTCCCCCAGCGTGGCTGTCCATGGTGGTGCATGTGCCGTGGCTTCTGTCAGTTGCGGGAAGTTGGCTGCAGCTCGTTCCTGTTGGCGTGACCAGTGCATGCCTCTGAGTGAGCGTTCTGCCGGGCGCTGTGGGCTGACAGCATGGAGCCATGTTTCGGTTGGGGTAGGGGCAACAAAGGGACTTTTGAGAGGGCCTGAGTACAGGGGGCAGCCAGCAAGTGAGGGCTCGTTATTCCCGCAAAGAAAAATACACGACTTTGTAGCAGAAGAAATGTCACATTTGCACAGTGAAGCGAGAGGTGTTTGGAAACAGAGAGGGGAGTATAAGGACAAAATGTAAGAGCAACTTAAGGCCTGTTCTGAAAACCAAAATTAACTGCAGTATATTTGGAACCATGATCTTTGCCAAATAAGGATTACCATCGGCTTTTTCAGGAAAGAGTTTTTGAACCCCTAACCACCGAGTTTTCATTTTTGCGCTGTATTTGAGATCCTTCTTTTAATTTGCTCCAGGAGAACGTAATCTGTAGCATAACTAAGCTTAGAACAAGAGAGAAGGCGGAACCAAGTGGATCTTTTGGTTTTCCAGAACATAACTGGCTGTTTTTAAAACTGTAGGAAAAATGCAGATGTGAGTCATTGTTCTCGAAACAGAAGAGCCAGTGTTTGCCGCGGTCGTGGGGCCCGTTGAAGGGAGCTGGCAGGCTGGGCTGGAGCAGCAGGCATCTCCCAGGGCGGCCCGATGGCTCTCCCCACCCATGGTGCCATGTGACGGGGTGGTCTTCATTCCCCAGCTGTGCTAGGCACACACTTTCCTAGGAAGATGGCCTGTGTCTGTGTGACATACACACGGCGCCTCGGGTGCTCCTTTCAGCTGCGGGGGTTTCCACGGGGGTCAGTCACCATGGGAGCCTCCCTGTGCTCGTCAGCCATCACTAGAGAAATGCTCGCAGTGTCGTCAGTTCAACCACCAGGGTCTGTTGACGGAGCTGATAGCCAAGAATTCCTTGGGGGTTGCAGCGAGAAGAACAAGAAAGAGAAGGGGATTGAAAACGGCAGGCTCCTGAAGTACAGCTGTTCAGCCGTCTGTCTTTTCTAGGGTCTTTGTAACTTCCAGACCAGCAAGTCCGTGCGGAACAAGCACAGACTGTGCACTCGAGCACGTGGGGACACACGATTGCCTTTTCTTCAGCTCTCTGGCCTCTGTGCCTTCCGCAGGCCATGGGCATCTACCTCTACGGGGAGCTGATGGTGAGTGAGGATGCCCGGCAGCAGCGTCTCGCCCGCAGGTGCTTCGAGCTGAGCAAGGAGCAGATGGACAGATCCTCAGCAGAGGTGGTGGCCGAGATGTTATATTAAAGAGGTGATTCTCTCTCTTTCCTTTCTCATTGCTCGGCTCTGAGATTCCTCTTAAGAGCTGAGTGAGCCAGTAAGCCGGGTGGTGAGCTGAGGGCCGCTTCCCTTAGGGTACGGGGGCACCTCGTCTGGCCGAGCGGTCACTGGAAAGCCCGTGCCGCCCACCCCGGCGGAACATTCTTTCTCGGCGCTGTTTTGGCCACTTCCGGTTTTGTTATTTGTGGGGAGGGAGTTCGCAGGAGAACATCCTGAGCTGGTTAGAAGGTGCGCTGGAGAGCCTCGTGTAACCGTGAGCCGCGTCTTCAAGGGGAAGGCTGGCGCGGGGGTGTGTGGTGGGTTCCCCACACCTTGAGCTGTGAGCAGCCGTGTGAGAACTTGCGGTCCCTCGGGCTGTCCCCGCCTGGTGGGCGAGGCTGGCAGGTCCTTCCTCCCCGGTGTCCTGAATTTCTCCACATTGCGTGTCTGCTGGCAGGCGGGCAGGTTACCTCGAGTGGGAGTCCTAAATATTTAAACTGCTTCCTCTCTTAAATGTGCTTGGCACTGACCTGTTACGTTCACGTTTTAGCAGTTTTTAACTGTGGATTTCTGCATTCTAAAAGTGATTTAGCAATGGTACATAAAGGTTTGTAAGTAGAACTGTGGGATTATAAGTGGTTTTTTTTGGTCTAACGTCATTTCTCTGACTCTCTGGTTTGCTTTAAGGTTTTACATGATATTATAGGGTATGTCTAATTTTGTGTTTTTTAAAAACAGCATCAAATTTCAAGCATTTTTCATGTCATATAGCTTCTCTATAATTTTAATGGATATTTAAGATTTTATGTTGATATTCTTAACCTATTGTGGGATATTTAGTTTGCTTCTAATGTTTTGCTCTTATAAAAAACCATTTCTGTCTAATATGTTTAACTGTCTTATTTATCTGAAAGAACTCTAATACTAAAGAGAGAAAGGTTTTCTAAAGTCCGGTTCTGTTCTTCCAGAAGAGTCAAGGAGCCATATTGGCCAGGAGAGGAAATAGTGGGAATAATTGCCACGATTGTATATCTCGTAGCAGAGCAGCTATGTGCAGGCTTCCCCAGAGCTCCCCTGTGGCAGCTTCAGAGCCTGTTCAACGACGGGCCAGTTTAAAACACAGAACAGTTACACAGTCAGGTGTTGCCAGCCTCATATAGTAATCAGGATAAATCGTATTTCTCTTCAGATTTTTAATTTCACGGAGAGTTTGTGTTTCTTGAAGTGTGTGAAACTGCAGTGGTGCAGACTATGCCTTTGATGTTGTTCCCTGGGTTCTAGATTGTGGAGAAACCACCGCGGGCTACACAGCTTTGGCAGTTCTTCATTGTGATGTTTTTGCCCCAAGCAGGCAAAGGAGTAGTCCCGGTCACAAGCCTGCTCTTTTCTCACCGCCCCTCTGTCCCTGCCCTTCTGGATGAACACAGGGTCATGTGCACACCCTTTCCCCCTGCTACCCCAGAACAGCTGGTCAGTGCATTTTTCATTTCATCTTCCAGAGCTGCACTGGCATGTGTATGGTCATCTGTGAGTCCTTTGATTTTAAAAAATTGTGCCCCTAGGACGCCCAGTAAATGAATAGTGAACAGAAATAAAACACGTTTGGTAGTGTAGCAGGCCTGGAGGTGGTGCTGTCACCTGGTGCCCGAGGAAGCTGGTGCGTGCGGTGTGGGCAGCCCTGCGGCGCTGCCCCCAAGTGCTCTGGCTGCTTGGGTTCCTGGCATGCTGATTTGTGACTTAAGATTAAAATCACATTGCCAGGGATTACCACGCAACCACGACCCTGACTGCTCCTCCAGAAGCCGTAGTTACTCTCTCTCTGCAGTTCGGGGAACAGATACATCTCATAGCTCCTCTCTGGAAACGGAAGAAGCCAACAGCCTTGGAAGATGCTCTCCAGCCCTTTCATTATGCCCAGCCGACGACCTCTCTGACGAGGTGCAGAGCTTAGCTGATTGGTGAACAGTGACTGGTTTCCGCTTTGTTCACAGTGGCTAAGTTCTGCACCTGAAGAGAAGGTGAGATGGGGACAGTTAAGTTGGAGCTGCCGGGGCAGAGGCCGCTGCTGAGCGGTCAGCTGGGGGACCGAGCACGATTCTGGAGGACAAGAGCCTGCCTGGCCTCAGCGATGATGCACTTTGTCTTGTTACGAATGCAAGGAACATACCAAAAGTCTACGGAAATATAAATCCGCTAATTAGACACCGGTGTCTGAAAGTTCAAATGTATTGAAAGCTGCAAAATTATTCTTTTAAAAATCTAAAACCCAGTGAACCACGAAAGTCGAGTAAGCCCACGTCAGCAGTCGATGGCGTGTGAGTAGAGCTGGGTACTTTCAAAGGAGACTCCCTGTTGTGATTTCCGAGCACGGTGAACTCTCTCTTGTATTTGCAGTCCAGGTTTCTGTGTCTCCTGCAGCCGCCCGCGGGACGAGGCCGAGCGAGCTCCCAGCTGAGGCACTGCTTCTCCGGGCTGTCAGTTGGACCCGCCCTCCGGTGCCTACTGAGCTGATATCAGTTCTCATTTTACACACTGGCTCAGTTCAGCAGGAACAGGAGTCGAGCCCTAGAGCAAAGCCTTCCTGTCGTGAGTGCCCGGCGGCTCGGGAGCTGGGGCTGCAGCCGCACGAAGACAGGCCCGAGCGTCCGCAGCAGAGCCGACCGGCGGCGGAGGCCCCTGTGTATGTGCCCTGTGTGTGGGTGTTGCTAGAGCTCTGCTGACATGACAGGAACGAACTTCCACCCATTGGCGCCACGCCTGCCACGCAGGCAGTGCATACCTCTGTCACGGTGTAGGACGGCCCGAAAGCAGTCGGAGTGAGTGCGGGGCTGAAACAGGCTGCCTTTCTAGTATCTGTCCTGTGAACGGAGCCCGAGTTCTAGCCGCCGGCTTTCACAGCCCTGTGTGAGCAAAGCGAATGGCACATGGCGCCGCTGTAGAGCCCCTCTCGGGGCTGTGAGATGTGCCCTGGCCTCCTCCTGTCCTCCGCTCACGGCCCTCTCTCCAGAGCCGAGAGCAAAGGCACACACAAAGGTACTCGTTTACAAGAATTCCTCCGTTGTGACTGGGCAGTAAATTTTATTGCTGTTTCCTTTGCAGGAAAGATCACAGCGAGATTCTTTTTCATGCATCTACTCGTAGCCCTGGTGGGACCAGGATCACATTGACCCTGGACATCAAAGGAAGGATTATGGGGCTGCTAAAGCCATCAGCCGGCAGCAGTGTGCACACTGGGGCGACCTTCCCAGAGGCCGTGGCCCTCACGGTGGAGCCCGTGTCAGAGGCACATCCTTGTAAACGGTCTCCACAGGGCTGTGTGATGCCTCTGTGCCCACCCTGGCTGTGCCACCTCAAGATCCTGAATCTGAATTGAGTCTCCCCTGTGAGTTCAATGCAGTTTTCACACAAAGGTGGAAGATACCTGAGGCCCGTCGGAAGCCCTGCTGAACCTCCTCCATCCGTCCCTCAGCGTGTGGATGTTTGTTTCTGTGCTTCCAGAAGGTCAGGGTTTCTGCGTACTGGGACCACCTCTGCGGGATTACTTTGATTGATTAGGTCCTGTATTTAGATTTTTCCAAAATTTTAGTACCTTTTGGTAGAAGTACAGGATAACACTCGAAGATGTATTAATAATAAAATGTAATGGATTCGTTTTTTCTTTTCTTCCTGTTTGCTTCCTAATTTAATACTGTTTTTGAAAAGGAAAAAAAAAACGTGGAAGAAGAGGGTAGTCTCCTCCTCCTGGTGTCATTCTTCTCTCACCTTACTGGTTTTCTCTGTAGTTTTCAAGGTGGTGCTGCTGTTCCTGGGAGGACAGTGGGCCCCCTGCTCCTGATGGAGGTACCATCGGGCACCGTGGGGTCTGTGGTGATGTTGCCTCGTTTCCCACAAATGTTTGAAGTTAAAAAAATAAAATAAAAATAAGCTTCTCAGGACTGTCCAAAGGGAAGGACGGCTTTAAAACGCTCCAGAAGCCACAGTGGTTGGTGCGGTCACGTGATGGCGAGAGGCTGAGCGGAGCGGGAGGGAACTGACCCGCCTGCAGGGGCTGCGCTCGCGGGGCCGCGGACCCGCCGGTGGGGGGACGTGCGGCTCCACACAGCCCTTCGTTAGGAGCTCCTGACCTTCAGAGTTACTTAACAGTGACCGTCACTCCGGAAGGGTTCCTACGGGTTGGTTCTTTGCCGTTACGTGTGCTCTGCCTATGGTTGTATGTGCTTTGTTCACCATGTTGGTGGAAGAATAAAAATTCGGTTTTTAAATATGAAGAAATGTCAGGACGCTGTTCTCTGTGAAGACTTCGAATAAATGACTCTTTCTCCCTCTGGTCGGCGTGAGTCTGGTCCTTTGTGCGGCGGAGCAGGAAGCCCGGGCACAGCCTGCTGCTCTGTGCACCACAGGGGCTGCGGGTGACCAACCAGCCTGGTGGTTTGCTTTGGTCTTGTTTTTCCGAAAAGTTAAAGCCACGCTTTGTCATCTTTAGAAACTGCTGAGGCCAAGGCGAGTGTCCGCATGAGTGGCTTCGCGCTAAGACGGCTGGTCCCCTGGCCCTGTGGCCGGGGGTCCCGCGCTGGCTCCGAGCTCGGGTCCGGCCCGCAGGCGGCCGGTCCTGGCGGGGCCGTCGGGACCCGAGCGCCGCCTCGCCGGGGCTGTGGGTAGCTTGCCTTCCCGCCTGTAGGCTGGCGCTCTTGCGGGAGGGGCTGTGCCTGTGGGGAGGGAGGGGCGAGCGGCCTCCCTCCAGCTTCACCCCGCACCCGCTCCGTTCAGGCTCCGGGACTCCTGGGGCGGGTTCTCCGCGCTGGCCCTCCGTACCTCCCGCTAGGGCTGCGGAGGGCGTGCTGTGGAGGAGCCTGAGGCCAGGGCCTGGCAGGCGCTGCCGGGTTCCAGAGTGGCCACCAGTCAGTCAGAAGACAGGCGTGTAAAGCCAGCACCCTGCGTTCTTACGCGATGCATTTGTTTTGAAAAAAGTTTCATGTGGGTGATGGGCAGGTTCCCCAGGGCACGTCATGGAACTTAGGCTGCTTTATCAGCACGACGCGGGCACCTCCTGAGGGATGCCTCAGTCCAGGCGGGAGTGTTTGCCGAGGGGTCAGGAGCCCCGGGGACAGAGGCTGGCTGTCTCGGAGAGGCAAGGGTGCGGGAGCCTGCCCTCCCCAAGTTCCCCCTGTGGGTCAGGCCTGCACAGTGCTGTCCCCAAGGTCATATACTAAGCGACAGGCGGGATTTCAGTGTGTCCACCTGGCTCGGGATTCTCCTCCCCCGAGTCCCTTTCAGGGTGTAGACTGTCTCTTCGGTAATAAACTCCTCAGGGATTCCTGGCCTTGTCCTTCAGCCAGAAGAGACTTGAGACACCTGCGCTCCTCACCCAGTTTGCTGTGAGGGGGTCTGGCTGGGGCCCAGGGAGCACGTCAACTTGAATCTGGAACAGTTATGTCCCCGCGGGGAAGTCTGGCACTCACTTTCTCAGGGGCACAACTTCTGATCTTTGCTGCCCCAGGAAGTATACCTTTCCAGCCTCAGTGTTCCCCCTGTCACGTTCCCAGGGTGAGCGGACGGGACGGCATGAGCTCTGCCCTCCAGGCAGAGTAGAGGAGATGAGCCGACAGGAGCCGGTCTGGTCACTAACCAGGTGATGCCTCCGTCCAGAGGGGGGGGCCAGAGCACAGGAGGCGCCCAGCGTGAGCTTCCGTCGGCGCCCTGGTCTGGTGGAAGCGAGGAAGCCCCAGCCCGTGCCCCTTCTGCCGTTGCGTCCGTCGGGCTCCGGACCGCCGGCGGCATTCGTGGCCGGCAGGGGCCAGTCGTGGGAGAGGACGGCTTGCTCTTTCAGCGCCATGGTCGGTCCAGAGCTGTTGGTGGGGTAACTCGGCCTGGTTCGCGGGCTTGTGAAACCCGGGTGAGAAGAGGAGATCTTGTTCCCTGAGCGAGTTAAGGGGTTAATTGTCAAGCGACTGTCCTCTCCCCGGAGAACAAAGGACTCCACAAATGGAGATGCTCTCCTACCCGTCCCCACGTGCCTGGCTGTCGGGACCCGAGGTCGGGGAGGAGATGGGAAAGAAGTCAAGAGAAGGGGTTCAGGTCTCTCTCTTGGCCTCTATTTTAGGATTAAAGGGTTTCAGGCACTTAGCTTTATTGGAATTTCACGTCAAAACATCGAAATTACAGTCTCCATCCCAAACGAGGTACAGAGATGTCGTGTTAGGCAGAACCCAGTGCCCCAGTGGCAGCAACCAGAAATAGCAAACCTCATCCCTAACGTTAACCCATCGCTTTCAAATGAAAACCTCTAAAAGGTTTCAGGCAGGTACTTCCAGTGCATTCTGGGTTTCCTGCAACTGGCCTGACCGCACGGACACTCAGCAAAGCCCCAAGCAGTGCCGTGGAGGCGGCTAGGCTGCCGTGCGGGGCGGTCTGCTCGCAAAGGGTTGCCTCGGCCACAGCCGGCCTCACCAAAGGCAGCTGGAAAGCAAAAGCTGAGTGACTCATCAAGGACTGGTTGTTTCAGAGCGTGATGCTCTTGGCCAGCCACCTCCTCATTCTATGGATGGAGCCGGCTGGATGGGAGGGTGAGGCGTGGGAGAAGGAGTCTGCCCAGAACTTGTGCACGGCCGACCTGCCCTGCAAGTAAGCACAGTGTCCCACCATCTCCTGCCAAACAGAACTCCGGGTGTCCCAAGCCTGTGGCCTCCCTGGGGCGGCAGGCCGGCCACACCCCATTCCTGAGAAGTCAGCGAGGGAGATGCTCCCCCGGCACTTGGCCACCAGGTTACAAGTGCCAGCAGGTGACAGGGCTTTGCTAGATGATTCTTTACAGCATCCCTTCCCCAGGGCACCTTGGACTGGACCACCTCAGGGTGCAGAGAGAGGGTGGGGAGCCCTCTGTGCAGGGCCCAGCCACGGCAAAGACTCTATACAAGGTGCCAGGACAGTGGTGAGCCCAGGCCTAGACCTCCCGGAGCTGCCTCTGTCCAAGGAGGGCTGGAGCACTGGGGGTCTAAAGCCCAAGGGACCTGGGCGTTTGAAGGGCTGCCTGGACCTCCCAGGGCGGTGCCCAGAGGCCAAGCTCAGTGAGGAGAGCTCTTAACCCCCCAGGCCACTGTCCCCCTCGCCCTCCCTGGCTGGGCCCTGGGGGTTTACAAGGTGGAAGGGAGGAGAAGCTGGTTGGGGCCATTCACGGGCAAGGTTTTATAGATCTTTTCCCATCCTTTGGTGCTGTCTGGGAGATTGATTGGCTAATGAGGTATTTCTGTTCCAGTCTGATGACTAGAGAGGGTGTGAGAAAAAAAGAGGGAGGAGGCTGTCAGCCAAGCCTGGGGGCGGAAGGAAGTTACCATAAAACTACAAACGTTCCCAGTGGTTCCCAGGACTAGCACAGTCTGCTGAGAGAGCCTCCTGCCTGGATGGTGGGTGGGCATCGGGGCACCCTGGCATCGGAGCATCAGAGCAGAGGCAGACCCAGCGCTGGTGGGAAGGCCAGCCAGAGGAGCCCGCTCTTGGGGGCTGGGCCTGAGAAAGGGGGCTGGTGACGGTACCAGAACCCCGCGCTGGTCTGCGTGTGCGTGTCTGGGAATGCGAGTGAGTGCAGAAATGCAGATAAAGGCCTCTCTGACCACACGTTTTCCCTGGTCCAGACACAGCTCCCATAAAACCAATCGGCCCTGCCAAGTGTCGTTTGAGATGAAACGAGTTCAGGGATTTGGCTTCTCAGCCCCAAGGACCGAAACGGGACAAACTGCTCCAGAGACCTGTCCGCGGCCTCCTGTGTCACCCGCCTAGGCCCCCAGCCTTTTCTGGCTGCTCAGCACCGCCCGGGTGGCTGAGGGGGGCCGGCTGGGCCACCCTCGCAGGATGCCCACCTTGGGGGGCAGAGCTCTGCCCCGCCGGGGAGCCTTGCGCCTGCTTCCCAAACAGCTCCTCTGTGGCTTTGTCTGGGAAGCAGAGGGGACTGGGCACACGTTGCGGATTCTGTTTTCTTAAGCCTTCTTCGTGCTCTTTCTGCCTGTAATTTCCTCCAGCTCCGGCCTTTGGGGATGGTTCCACCACTGAAAACCTGGCCCAGAAGGTGTTCTTACCTGTGGGGTGGAGGAGGTGCTGAAACTGCATGCCGTTTGGGCCCTAACTACACTGCCTGGAGTCCCAAGTTCGGAAAGTTCATTTCCGCTCTAATAGGCTGTCCTTGTCACATGAGGTCTGGCAGGACAGGCCTTGGAAGCAGAAACGTGTGTCCTAAGACTGGTGAGGACGTTCTTGGTAAGATTAGAAAGGCAGGAGTGATGCCTCCGGTTTTCACGTTCTGACTGCAAGATTTAAGTCTCCCAGGACTTTGACATCAGTTACGTCTAAGGAGGGAGGCTCAAGACAATGTGAATTATGGGGATAAATCAGCGATTAGATAGGAGCCAATTTTAGAGTTCGCCGATGAGACAGTACAGGTACAATGGTGCCCTTATGTTGGGTTGTAAAGAAAAGACGTAAGGGAAAGGAATTGTAGCTTTATGATTTTATCTGCTTTAATAAATTAAATGATAACGTTGAGGGAGAGAGAACTGCAGAAATCGTGGCTTCAGCGCAGCTGGGGGTGGAGAAGGCGTTTTGTAGAGCAAGAGAGTGATTATTAGTGATGGCAGAAGCTGGGCAGATGGACAGATTGACATCAGGGGAGTTGGGTCATGGCCCACAGACTGCCCCAACTCGGGGGACCAAAGCCCCGGTCCTCAGGCCACCCTCCCTCTAGGTCGGGGTACCTCCTCTTTTTCTAGAAAACTCTCTGTCCAGTACTAGAACATAAGTCCTATAAATCGGCTGTAAAGATGCCACCGTGCTGGTGGCAGAGCAGGGGCGCCAGCGCAGGGGTCTCCTTTCTGAGTTACAGGTGGGGATGGAGGCCTCCTTTTCTCTGCAGCGTCATTTAACAATGAGTCTCTCTTGGAACAGACAAATACAAATCTTCCTTCACACACTGATGATTATAAATTCTTTTTGCACACATCACAGATATAAACAGTATATCAACAGAAAGCGCGCGCTGCCCCACCTCGTCCTGCCCCTCCTCCAAGGCCACCGCCGTGAGGAGCGTGGCGGCAGAGACTGAGGCGGTGCCGCAGCACACGCGCGGCAGGGTGTACACCGTTCTTTCAGTGGCTCCATTGTCTGGACATCACACAGCTCAAGAGGCAGTGGTCACAGTCTCCTTAGGTCCTTTTGTTCAGATCCCAGCCCTGCTAGCTGTCACCTGTGTGTAACCTCTCTGGGCTTTGGTTTCCTCATCTATAAACCATGGACAACTTCGTTAGGTGGTTGTGAGAATTAAATGAATTAATTTATGCAAAACTCTGATAACAGGGCCTGGCATCAGCTATAAAGGTATGTGTTACCCTTTGATGGCTGGTTTACTTCATTCAACCAGCCCTCTACTGATGAACCTGTGAGTGGTTTCCAGTGGGCAGCGATGTGAAGCTGCACTGCGATAAAGCCCTGGGCATTTCGCATATGCCCGGGCACCAGTGTGTCTGTGGGATAATTTCTAGACTTGCTCATGGTGGGCCCACGCAACCTGAAGTGGGGGAAGGCAGCTCTGAAGAACTGGCTTTTTGTTACTAGATAAAAGGATACATAGTTTAAAATTTTTTTATTCAATGCTCTACCGTGGTAACACACATAAAATTTACCATTTTAACCATTTTCAAGTGTACAGTTCAGGGGCATTAGGTACATTCACATTGTTGTGCGGCCATCACCACCATCCGTCCATCTCCAGAACTTTTTTATCACCCCAAAGTGAGACTCTCACCTGTTAAACAATAACCTGGAAGAGAATGGAATTCTCTCCTGCAGCCCATGGCACCTGTACGGTAACAGAATTACCATATGATCCAGCAATTCTACTTCCAGATGTATCCCCAAGATAACTGAAAGCAGAGACTCAAAGAGGTATTGGTCCACCGATGTTCATAGCAGTATTATTCACAATAGCCAAAAGGTAGAAATGTCCACCGTCCTATGTTCTGTCTCTCCAAATTTGATGGTTCTAGGTACCTCATATGAGCGAAATCATACAATGGTGTCTTTTTTTGTCTGACTTATTTCACGTAGCAAAATATCCTCAAGGTTCATCCCTGTTGTAGCGTGTGTCAGAACTTCATTCTTTTTTAAGGGTGACTAATATTCCATTGTATGGATATGCCACATTTTGCTTATCCACTCACCTGTCGATGGACAGTTCTATCCACGCCTGCTGTGGGGTCTGGGTTTGCATCTTGCATAGAAAGGGTTCCCTTTCTGGCCTGAGGGCTGAAAACAGGATTCTTGGATTCTGCCTCAGACCCCTTTCCCCGCTCCCGTGGAGAAGGACCCTCTCCTCCCCTCAAAGGACTAAGAAGTCTTCTTGGAAGCAGTGACCCAAAGGCTTTGAACTTGCAGACCCCAGGCAGTGGGGAGGGGGAGGCCAGGGGCTGAAATCAGGGTTTAATGTGAAAGTCTGCCAACCACAGGTGAGCAAGAAATTCTTAATGAAATACAAGAACATTCTTTCTACATTTTGGGAGTAGGAAAGTCTTGATTTTATAAACTAATTTTGTACTTATCTGAGTAATAGACTGTCTTCTCAGAGTGGCAGCAGCCTTCCAACCACCCTCATCCCTCCTCTTTTTCCAAGCAGAACTGCTAGTTTTCTCCGGAGAAAACCCACAGCCCCAGAGAGGAAACCTCCAGATACTTTGGTGGTAAAGAAAGAGGGCTAGGCATTTTTGTGTGTGTTTATTATTATCTAAGAAGTAGAGCTCCAACGTAATTTCTCAGCACCATCTTTCCCTGCTGATGGAAATGCCTTTACCATATATTAAATCCCTGTAAGGACTAATTCAACAAATATTGGGCACCTGTTGTATGCCTGAACTGTTCCAGGCACTTGTATTGGGGACGGTCAAGTATATAAGTAGACTACGTGGGGTCTAGAAGGTGTTATGTGTTAGGGACGAAAGCTGAGGGGTGGAGAGTGGGGTGCCACTGGAGACGGGGGCGTCAGGCCATACGGAGGTGGTGACGTGAGCAGGTGAGGGATGGCTGTGCATGTCTGGGGAAGGTGTGTGTGCAGGACAGTGCATGCAAAGGCCCTGGGCCCCCGTGGCTGGAACAGGTGGGTGTGTGAAGGGGTCACAGAGAATATTAGGTGGTGAAGTCAGAGAGTAAAAGGGGGCCCATACTGTGTAGGGCCTTGAAAGCCATTTTAAGAGTGTTGAGTTTTACTGAATGAAGACGGGAGTTTTTGTCGTGCTTTGATCAGGGGTGTGGCATGATGGAACCAGCAAGGGATCGCAGAGATGCTGCAGAGGGGCCAGGGCGGCGGTGGGGAGAGCAGGCAGATGCTGGTGTCTGCGAGGAGGGCAAGGAACGGTCCGATCCAGCGACGTCCTAGTGACTCAGACGTGGGGGTGAGAGAGGAGTGAAAAATAACTACAGGATTGGGCCTGAGTCCCTGGAAAGACGGGACGGCCATCGACTGACTTGGGAAGACTGTGGTTTGGGGTCAGGGGGTTGGTGGCAGCTTTGGACCTGTTAGTTTGACATGGTCACCTGACCTCCCGGTGGAAACAGCCACTGGGCCGTAGGTATTCAGGTCTGCGGTCCGGGGAGGGTGCGGCCCCTCTGCACAGAGGTGGCTCGTGGAAAGCCCAGCAGAGTGAGGGTACACGTGGTGGCCCGGGCGCACCCGCCAGGCCGAGGTCAGCGGTTGAGCAGGGCCCAGCCCCCTCAGGCTGAGGGGAAGCCCTGGAATGTTCCACCAGCCAGAGGAAGCTGTCAGGGAGGATGGAGACCCAGTGGGTCAGGTACTGCCCGGGCTGGTGCAGGAGGCCTGAGAATGGTTGGCCGGAGCCCCAAGGAGGGCCCTCGTCATAATGAGTCGAGCTTTAGAATTTGTGCGTACTCTTCATTATACTCCATCACACTTCACTTTCAGGATCTTCCTGGCTGTTCTTGAACGTTTATTCTTCCATATGAATTTTGGAGTCAGATCACGTAGTTCTCCTATTAGGATTCTATTAAGTCTAATTTATCTCTCTAAGACAGTTACTGTTTCTATCCAGGATATCTTTCCAGAAGGAAAGAACCACCAGTTAGAGAGCAGTGGTTCTCAACTTGGCAATGTCTGGACAAAGTTTCGATCGTCGCTCCTAGGCTGGCACCTAGCTCACAGAGGGTGGGATCAAGCCGCCGCCACAGAGACTTACCCGGTCCCCAGGGTAGTAGCGCCACACTGGAGAAGCCTAGCCTCAGATGCCTGCACGCTGGCTTTCTGCTAAGGGCCCTCGTCTTCCTTTTCTTACTGAGTAGAGTATCGGGCTGCTGCATGGCACTCATCCTTCTGCAGTGCTCGAGAAGAGTAGACAATAGGTAGTGTTGTGGACGTTCTTAATTCTCTTCCGCCCCCCAGGCTCTGGCCCCTTCCTGTCTGTGGGAGATGCAGTTGGCGGTGTCCAGTACCATCACAGAAGCGAAACCAGCTCCACACCTGCTTTACCCAGCTCCCCTTACAGCCTAAGTGCGGGTGGGGGACCTGGGCTTCTCTAGTCAGATGCAGCAGCCGGGACTGCGGCCAGCCCTTCAAAGAGCGGGGTGCAGGGGCCTGTCTCGCCACTGAAGGTTGCAGACCTTGCAGGACGAGCTACAAGGGTTGCAGAATTCAGTGACAGCAGCAGCAGCAATTTCCTCACCAGGCCACTCTGAAGCCGGGTTTTGGGCACTGCTGCTGGCTGGCTAGAGCTAAGCCTCGTCTGCCTGACAATTCTGTGGGCTTTTAAATACCCTTTGGATTGCTTCCCTTTTGCTTTCAACATCGTGTCTGTTTCTGTTGCTTGCAACCAAGAATCCTGACTGATTCACATGGATTCATCATATGGTGCGAAACACCAGAAGTCGAGATTTTCAACATTGATTTATGAGACTTTCTACTTCTACAGAAAAGCTAAGAAGTGTGAAACTTTCAGTATCCAAGCATGCAAGTTTCCTACCCAAAACACCAAGTACAATAAGCTATATCACAGTTATGTCAGTACTGGGGAAAAAGGGAAGGTCCTACATTATCAACTTCCTTTATTACTGTCAGTCTATATATGAGAGAGATGATCTGGACCCATGCTATAAACAAACTGTGGACTTGAATTTTACAAGAAGGCTTTAAGACACATTTATTTTGCCTTAATTTTGGTTCTTTAAGAGTGAGATGGTTTGGTGATGATTAATAACTTAGGATTGTTTGACGAAATCCATGTCACACCCAGTGTCAGGCAGAGGAAGGATGCCATCACCAGCAGTGCTGGCTGTGGGTGACGTGGTGATGGGCTGGCAGAGGAAGAGGAAGGCAAGGACAGCAACACAGTCAAGTTCATTCTCGTCCTCCTTGGAGAGCACCATTTGGATTCCTTGTCGAATAAGGAAGAACATTCCTCACGTTTGTTCTCACGGTGCAAACGCCAGGCCCCTTTGGGTAACACAGGGACAGGCTCAGTTTAGATTTTCCTCGCATTTCTGCCCACTGCCCAGGTCCGCATCCTCTCCAGGTACCCCTTCCAGTCCCTGTCCTTGACTCCTCCACTTCGATGGAAAGTGTAGCTTTCTGCTGGCCTCTGGAAGGACTCCCATTTTTGTCTAGTACCCTTGTCCCAGCAAGAACGGGGCCGAGAACGGGGCCGAATGAAGAAGCCGGAGCCCAGGAACGCCCGGACAGGGGCTTGTCCCCAGGTGCCCTCTGCTGTCTCAGATGCCTCCTGGACAAGATAAGAGGCCCTCAGCGCCCGGTGTCAGGAAGCAGAGTGATCGTCCAGAAAACCCATGCAGGCTGCTTGCAGTAAAACCGGGAGCGGCCAGGGTCCTGTGGGAGCCACGGGACGCGCGCTTCAAGGTGAGTGGAGCCGCGGGCGGAGTCCCTCCTTCCTGACACCCAGGGGAGCCCGGGGAGGCCGGAGCGCCAGGGCCATGAGTCTGAAACAGCAGAACGAGCAAGAGGGTGGGCTGTGCTCGTCAGATGCATTCCCGCTTGAGCAATGGGGGAAGCAATGTGTAGGTCAATTCAGCTGACACTCAGTGGTAGTATTTAGGTCTGGCTTAAAGGGGGAAAGGGTATTTCTGTGGGACACACTTCATTTGGTTTTAGCAGCTCCTGCTGACTGCCGGCCCTGCAGTCGCTCTCCTCGGCAGATTTCGGTCATCTGGTGGCAAGATTCCCAGGCCTAGAGATAAACCACAATTGGTCTTTTCCAGGGGCAGACCTATCTGGGTTTCGTGAGACCTGAAGCTTCCATGACTGGGGAGTAGAGGGAAGCTTTCTCTGAGAAAGATAATACTTAACGAATACAAAATTAGTGCCATGTGACTTTTTATTTAGAATGACAAACTATAAAACAAATTACAAATCTGAAAAAGCTAACAAATTCTGCAAACATCATGAAGTCCTGATGAATAACATAACCTCTGTATTAATGGGTGGTCATTAATGCCTTTTCTCCCTATAGTTTTGGGCTCTGTCCTCTTGGACCCAAGTCCAAGGCTTAGGAGAACGTTAGAGGCTTCGTAAAGGAATCGGGAAATACTACAAACAGGCTGAGGTAAGGTCAGGACAGGAAGGGCTCTTCCAGAAATGTAGCTTAAACAATCTGAGATAACCGTCTTGCTTTTCTTGTTTGCTGTGAAATACAGTGTGAATGGATGTCCACGTGGAAGCGCACTCCCCACAGGGAGGTCTGGTTCCCAGTGGCCGCTTGGTTTGGGGGTTGCTCACTGCCACCACACTAAGCCCTTTTCTTCATGTCCACAGAGGTTGGTCACAGCTTCCCTGGCAAAAGCCAACATAGGAGAGGCGCCCTCAACACCAAGGGAAAGCATGTGATGCTGGCACTAGTGATAAAAGTATTTTAACAGTATACCTTTCATACTGTAACATTTCTCTAAAGAAAGGCTCAGGTCAGAAGGTCTTGGAATTTTCCAGATCTTCAGGTGGATCCGTATACCAAAACAAGTAACTCCCCTAAAAGCTCAACCTCTAATACATCAAAACTCTACTTATACCTCAAACAGGAGCCAAGAATGAGGGAAATTCAGAGATGACTGATGCAGAAATCCAAGTGAGAAAAGTCTGGACTCACTCGACAAACAGATCATACACAAAAGAGCAAAAGAATAAACCTGAAAGGAAAAAAATATCTTCAACTAATGTGAAATAAATATTAATGTTGGCGTTGCCAATTCTTTTTTTTTTTTTAATAAATTTACTTATTTTATTTATTTTTGGCTGCGTTGGGTCTTCTTTGCTGCACGCAGGCTTTCTCTAGTTGGGGTAAGCGGGGGCTACCCTTCGTTGCAGTGCGCGGGCTTCTCGTTGCGGAGCATGGGCTCTAGGTGTGTGGGCTCAGTAGTTGTGGCTCGCGGGCTCTAGAGCGCAGGCTTAGTAGTTGTGGTGCACCCACTTAGCTGCTCTGCGGCATGTGGGATCTTCCTGGACCAGGTCTCGAATCCGTGTCCCCTGCATTGGCAGGCAGATTCTTTTTTTTTTTTTTTTTTGCGGTACGCGGGCCTCTCACTGCTGTGGCCTCTCCCGTTGTGGAGCACAGGCTCCGGAGGCGCAGGCTCAGTGGCCATGGCTCACGGGCCCAGCTGCTCTGCGGCATGTGGGATCTTCCCGGACCGGGGCACGAACCCATGTCCCCTGCATCGGCAGGCGGGCTCTCAACCACTGTGCCACCAGGGAAGCCCGGCAGGCGGATTCTTAACCACTGTGCCACCAGGGAAGCCCCCAATTCTTTATTAGAAGTTTCCAATTCCCGTTTTAGTGAATAGAGAACTGACACATAATCTCATCCAATGTTTCTAGAACACATCCTGTACCCTCCCGTCAGCCACCTTTGAGGTACCATGAGCTCTTTTGGTAACAGCCAGTGCTCAGCCAGTATAAAGCAAAAAGCCCCAAAGCTGGCTTTATTTCATTGCTAAGCAGTGTTGCTACCCCGTCACCACTGCTTGCTACTGGGCTTGGGTGGGCTCTGCTCAGGGGGCACGGGAGGGAAACTTGAGGGATCCTGACTATCCTGGATGAAGAACGTCTTAGGGGAGCAAGAGAGTATCCCGGTGGATAAGACGAAATACCAGTAACAATTACAGGACTTCTTAGAAAAGAGATCTGTGGAAAACAGCTAAGTTACCTTCTAAATTGATCAGTGGTTCATGACCAATTTCTTGGTCCAAAGAGTTTGAAACATCCAAATAATAGTTGTGCATCTTGGTTTGATGGGGGGGGGGGGGGGCGGGGAAGGAAATAAAAATCTGTTCTCCCATCCAAGCCTTTTCTTGAGTGATTCTCTAATCGACATCCGGGCTGAACAGGCACAGGGAACGCTGAAGCATAACCCCGTCATTAGTGAGTAAATCTCACTGAATTCAGGCTAAAGCACCTGACTTCTCATTTTGTAAAATATGTGCTACCAGATCTTGCCAAGACGTTTATGGCTCATTCTTGCAACTCAAGGAGGGAATGCATGCGACAAACAGGCCATAAGAAGCGGCCCCACCACTTCATCGCGTAGCCTCCCTGGTTAACTTGCCTGGGCTAGGCTTGCCCACGCAGCTCTGCGAGGAGCTCTCTGGCCAGTTTTCTCGACCTAGGGGCTTCCACACAAAGATGGTCCCATCTGTACAAGGTCTGGTCCAGAAAGCCAATAATCTCGTGCATTATTGCATCAGTCTGAGCCATCTGCAATGAGGACAGAAGAAAGAGAAGGCAAATTAAAACACTTTCCAGACAGATTCATCTCTTCGTCCAGTGGACCAGCTGTAACCATCCTGTCCCCCAAAAGCACCTGCATTCCTATCAGCTCCAAAGGGCTCTTGTTTTGTCTTCAAGGTGATTAGCAAAACGAATGTGTTCTCAGAGGTGGGCCATCTAGTGAGCAGAGCCACTTCCTAATGCTGGCCCTCTCAGACCCACAACGGCTACAGACAAATGCTGTTTCTTGGAACACCCATCACGAGCTTTGGGGTTATTTGCCGTGGGGAGCAGAGGCCAATGAGCATGCTGTGGCTTGACTTCCTGCAAAAGGCTTGCACTACTATGAGAACTGGAAAATGCTGAAAAGAGAGTGCCACCTGTTCTTACACAAACAGCTTTATAAATGGCATTCTTGGGCTGGCGGCAGGCCCACTTGTTTGTTAATAGGCACCCAAGGTTTTAACACTTGATTCTTAAGGGAAGCAGGAAACACAGGAACTGTCAGTTCTGCTAAATACAGCCTTAGCTGTTGGTACCCATAAAGGGAGGATAAGAATCTAACGATTTATCTGCGTGGAGAATTTACTGTGATTTTTTTTTAGACACAAGCATATTGAGAACCTCTGTTTTTGAGAGCAGTCCACATATTCATTTCTTTTTTCTTTTAAATATGGAACGCCTCAGGAATTTGCATGTCATCCTTGCACAGGGGCCATGCGAATCGTCTCTGTGTCCTTCCAATTTTAGTCTATGTGCTGCCAAAGTGAGTACCACATGTTCGTTTTTCATGTGTGAATCAAATATTTAAGTAGCCTGAGTAGCCCAAGGTCAGCTCCTCCTCTGTGTTCACACTGGCCCTTCTGGTAGGGTGACCAGCCGCCCTGGTCCACCCGGGACTCTCCTAGGGCCCAGGACAGCCTTTAATCCCAGGCCACCCCTGGCCATGAGTCAAGGCAGACTCTCACTGCAGCACGGATACTAAGTGAGTGGCAGCGGGGGAAGCCCTGGGCCCCCTGGACAGCTACTGGCAGTGGCCCAAGCTGAGAGGGCTCTCCTGGGGGCAGGGGGGGCAGGCTGCCAGCCTGGGTGGGGTTCACCGGGGCTCTTGGTGTCCACAGAATCCTCTCTTGGTTTTCCTCAGAAGTCACAGATGCTGTAGATGACTTTACGGATGAAACAACATGAGCTTCCCTGGGACGCCTTAGAAGAGTTAGTTTAGTACCTCAGACCCGAGTGGGGGAAGACTGCCTCCCGCTCCAGTGCCCAGGGACCGTGGGGGCTCCTCGGAGCCGGACGCGGGGCAGCGGTGCCATCGCTGGCCCTCTCTACAAGCCACCTCGATGCCCATGTTCCACTTTGTCTCCGGTCACATACAAACCCCGCCTCACTGCCACTGAGGGAGGGGAAGCCGCGTCCTGCAGGGCTCAGCTGAGGGCATCCTTGTGGAGGTCAAATTCATCTTGAGCTCAACAATTATAGAACTGAACTCTATATTTCAGATTCTGGCTAACTTTTGGCTGTTACTGCTATGGTCCAGCAACAGAAGACAGAAGGAGAGGGAGAGAGAAACGTGAACTCAGGGCAGGACGAGGGGCAGCAGGAATCCGGGCACCAGCCACGCTGCTAGCGCCTCATCCTCCTCATCGAGGCTCAAGGAGGAGAGAGCGGAGCTGGTAAAGCAGGAACAGGGCAGAGAAGCAGAACAAGGGGTGGGAAGGGCGGGGGTTCCGATGAAGGGATTCAGTGGAGACTCAGAAGCTGAGCCCTGGGGCCCGTGCGGGAGCCTGAGGAAGTGGGGGAGCGTGCTGTGGCCGAGGTTGGGGTGTGAGGCCAGGAGAGGAGGAAGGTGAGCCGATGGCACAAGGGGCAGCTCAGAGGAGGATCGAAGGCTGCAAAGACAGGGCTCAGACGCACAGCCTATAGCGAGCACGGCTCTCCAGAGCTGAGGGCAAGACAAGAGGGCCAAGACCAGGACCCGGGCCCGGAAGCTGGCCCTGCTCCCACCTCTCTGAGTTCACATCAAAGCCAGGCCAGGGCTAGGGTCCTGAGGGTGGTGATGCCAAAGCCCCTCAAAGAGAAAGGCCGTCCACCTGCTCCTGGCCAAGCAGACCGGCCCAGGGCTCTTCCCAGGCTCAGGCTGCCCACAGAGGGAGGCACCAAGGAGCCCACGAGGGGCTGGCACTGGGTGGACCCCTTCCACCTGTCCTGCTGTAGCTGCTCTTGCCGGGCTGCCTTCAACCGATCGTGTGGCCACTGCAGGAAAGCTTCGAGTGAGGAAGGCCGGTATGTTTGTTAGTTGAAACAGTTGCTGAACATCTGCAAGGACGGCACCCAGGAGGCGCTCTCAGCTGTGACGGGCTCCAAGGTGCCCGGGAGGCCAGCACCCACCTCCTAAGGAGCCGGTGCGGGAAGAGAAAACACCGAGCTTCATCCTTTAGTTAATCTTTTTTGCAGCTGAGCTGACTTCTGAACGTGAATGAAGGCGCCGGGTTGCCCCAGGCTCAGGTGTGGACCAGCAGTGCTGATGCGTGGCTGGAGGTGAGCTGTTCTGTGGCGATGGGGCTCCAGCATCGGCGGCAACCCTGAGCTTGGTGACACGACCAGCTCCTGAGCCCCAGCAGCCAGTCTGTGGGTGAGACCTGAGGGCGGTCCGTTGTGAACCTGGACTGTCTCCCCAGAATGGAGGGAAATGTGACTGCAATACAGAAGCAGAGACCTGCGTGTCTCTGAGGAGCTGTCTCTGGGTTACGTTCTCTCACACCCTACGTGCCGGGCCGGCCGTGATCTCCTTGGCCTGCTCTCCATTCCCAGGGTGACAGGACACTAGAGGAGCAGGAGGGTGCAGGCTCAGGGAGGAGGGGCGGCCGGGTCTGAGCAGGCTCCACGGGCTGAGGCCCCTCCCACAGGTGTCCAGGGCCTGGGCGGGAAGTCAGAGGTCAGGCAACAAAAATGCCACCAGCACCTGCATGATTCAGAAGTGTCTGCCTTTGACTTTTAAAATAACTTTCAATTTTAGAACAGTTTTATAGTTTGACCCAAAAGAAAATACTGAGAAATCCCATATCCCCTACACTCAGTTTTCCTGTTAACATCTTACATTAGTATAGTACATTTGTCAGAATTAATGAACCGATATTAATATGTTTTATTAACCTTATCTTTAGGTCAGACTTTTCCTCAGTTTTTCCCTAACGTCCTTCTTCTGTTCCAGGATTCCATCCAAGACACCACATTACATTTAGTCATCATCCCTCCTTAGGCTCTTCTTGGCTGTGACAGTTTCTCAGACTTTCCTGTTTTTGATGACCTTGACAGTCTTAAGGAGGACTGGTCAGGTATTTTTGTCAAATGTCCTTCAACTGGGGTTTTTGTCAGTTTGGGGTAGGAAGGCCACAGAAGTAAAGTGCATGTTCATCGCTTCATATCAACGTGACTTATCCCTGCTGATGCTGACCTTGATCACCTGGCTGAGGTAGTGGCTGAAAAGTGACTATTATAATTTACACTTGGCCAGAGAAAAAGTTGGTTGATACCAAGTTCTACAGATATGAGGACATTATTTAACTCTCACCTGTGTAGTTCCCCACCTCACCCCACCTCAAATGGATTTGGAGGTGAGATGTGCACTTTATAAAAGCACACGATAGGTCATTGTGCTGGGGCGGGCCCTGAGGAGATGGCACCCAGCAGGTGACAAGCAAGTCCTCCTCTGCTCTCGGCCACACCCAGGCTCTGGGAGGTCTTCTGTCTGAGCCCGAGAGGGCGGACACACAGGCTGGCCGCGTGGTCTGCCCACCCCACACACGGTGTTCTCCTAGGAGCAAGGAGAACCTTGTGGGCACTGGTTGCTGGGGTTCTTGGCAGTCCCACTGGTCACTGGGACTTTCTTCACGTTCACATTCAAACAGAGCCTGCCCTGGAGGGGAGTGGGAGGGGGTCTCTGGGTACTGGGAACATTCCTATCTTGATGTGGTTGCTGGCTGCATGGGTGTTTTTGGTTTGCAAAAATTCATCAAGCTATACCTTTCTGTATATACCTTATATGACAATAAAAAGTAAAAACAAAAACAGAAAAAAACCTAACTCCAAGAACCAGCACATTGTGGTTTTTTTGGGTTTTTTTGTTTTTTTTTTTGAGATGAGCTCATAACATAAAATTTGCTATTTTAATCATTTTTGTGTGTACAATTCAGCGGCATCAAGTACATTCACAATGCTGTACAACCACCACTGCTGTCCATTTCTAAAACTTTTTCATTATCCCAAACAGGAACTCTGCACCACTCCCCAGCCCCTAATAACCTCTATTCTACTTTCTGTCTTGTTTTCCATTTTGTTTGGCTTGGTTTACAGTGTATGTCCTAGTGGGTATGGAGCGGTACCTCACTGTGGTTTTGATTGCATTTCCCTAAGAGCTAATGATGTTGAACATTTTATTCATATGCTTATTGTCCATTTGTACATCTTCTTTGGAGAGATGTCTAAATTCACTGCCAGTTTTTGAACTGGGTTGTTTTACTGTTGTTGAGCTGTACAAATTCCTTTTATAGTCTAAACACTAAACATTAAACCCCTATCAGATACGTGATTTCCAAATATTTCCAAGTATAAATTCAAAATTTTTCTCCCATTTCAAGATTTGTCTTTTCACCTTCTAGAGAGTGTCCTTCGATTTGCAAAGCTTTTTATTTTGATGAAATCCAATGTATTTTTTCTTTTGTTGCCTGTGCTTTTAGTGTCATTATTCAAGTAATCATTGCTGAGTCCCATGCCATAAGGGGTGCCACATTTGACTTGGACCGTAAAGAACCCCTCAGGTCAGCTGGGCTTCCAGAAGGAGCTCTTTGTAATTAGCAAACTTTTTAAAAAATTAACACATGAAATTCTTTGAGCCACTGCAGTGACCATATTCTCACTGAAGGCTTGTTTCTCTTCACGAGGAGGAAGAGTCATGGACTGTAACTGAAAGACGACAGCCTGGGGAGACAGGAGGTGAGCTTTCACCGTGGGCCCTGGCAGTGAGCTGTGTGACCTGGGAGAAGTGCGCTCCCTTGTCTGAGCCTCCCTTCCCTCTCCTGTGCCATGCCGGTGTCGCATAGGGCAGGCTCTGGGTCTGGCCCAGCTGTCCCCTCCCGGCCTGTCCAGCCACGTTTGGACAGCATCTTGGTACCCACACTCTTCAAAGGCTGGGTCCTTGGGTGATAACCCACCTTTTCCCTGGGATGAGAATGAGAACCAGGGTGCCAGGAAAGGGGAGACTTACGAGCGTGATGACTTCCCGGGCAATCGCGTGGCCTCCGGGAGCCCAGAGCAGGAAGTTCAGGAGGAGGCGCCTGATCAGCTGCTGACAGGCAGGCGGTCTGGGAGCTCCCTCCCCGCCCTCTCCAGCTGCCGCCTGCAGGTCCCTGGCCGAGAGGATGGGACTCCTGAGCAGCTTCATGAGGCGGCTGAGCACGGCCTTCACCTCCACCTGGGAAGTACAATTTCAAAGGGAAGAGATTAGGGAAGAGTCGGGACACGCAGGTTGTAGGATGACTCAGTTCTTTGAAGCAACCCCCAGAAACGGGAGAGGACTGGCGCCCGGGGGAGGGCAGGTGGGGCGGACCATGTCAGAGTTTACACACTGCTCCACACAAACCCAAATGCGCGTAATGGAAATTTCTTGACTTTCTTTCGTCCTGCTCACTAAGCAGCCAGGGCATCATGCCAGGAATCGACCTTTTTTTTGTATGAAAGGAAATGGAGAAAAGTCCTCAGCAGAATGTAGTCAGATTTTTATATTGTGGGAAAAAGAACAAAAGGCTCCTTGAAGACTTGTTCACTATCACAGCCACAGGTCAATTAAAGCCCAGTGCTCGGACCTCCGCTGAGCCAACGTGCTGATAAGAAGGAGGTTGGCCTTTTTGCCACCTTCGGCGGGGAGGAGGCGCGTGCATGCACACACACACACGCACACACACACACACACACACACACACGTACCACACTGGTTTGGTTAGACACTGGGACACTGTTCATACATGTTGAAAGCTCAAGCAGAGGTCACAAGTCTGTGGAATCCACATAGTAATAGTGGCTGTTACAGGTCTGTGGGTTGTTTTTGCATAAAAAATATTTATTTCATGCTGAGATTTCTGTTTGCTCTAAGAATGGTACATCAAGTTGTGACTTGGAAAACCGTAAAAACTGAAAGCTGTAGATCCAAAATGCCACATGGAACTCATGAAGAGCTGTGTTCCCTCATTTTCAGAAGAATACTTAGGCCTACTCTGAAAATTCCCATGACCGATTTTATGGATTTTGTGTGAGTCGTTTTTTTCCCTGGAAGTTAGGGCTTCATTCAATGAAATCTGTCATAAGCTCCAGTACACTAGCAGTGCTGTGTGAGCGACTCCAATCACAAGGCAAGACCGTGAGAAACTGCACCCCAGGGCCCTTCCATGCAGGAGGGCGGTGCCCCTCACCCCCTCTTCTCTTGCCCGGGACCACCCTGCCCTCGTCTGACAGCGTCTACGGGGGCCCACGGCTGTCCTGCGTCTAGGCAGGTCTGCAAAAATCTCAGGGCTTAGGAAGCAATGCCTCCATATCCATTTTCTTCCTGACTGGCATTTGATTTTCTCCTCTCGTCCAATATTCCCTGAGGTTTGTCTTCTTCCTTACTCTTTCACTCCAGGCCGTCTTTCCCTTCAAATACCTTCCTCACATGCCCAAAACTTTAATGCTTTCTAAAAATCTTTTCAAGAGAAAAATATAAGCTTTCTTTTCTAAGTATTAATTTTTATCCTGCATTATGAAAATTTATATATGCTCACTGTAAAACATTTAAAAAAGTAAAAAGAAAAAGAATCAAAGTGACTATAACTCCACTATCCAAAGAGACTCGTTGAAAGTGAGGTTTACATCCTTATCATCTTTTTTCTATGCATTGTGAACACAGCACTCACTATACATGAGGTATTCTAGTTTTCACAGTTCACTCTAAGCAATTTACCATTATCGATAGCACATTTGCTTTGATAACATGATTTTTCATGGTAGAATGCTATTCTGTGGTTGTAATACACCACAATTTATTTAGCCGATATCCTTACTGTTGAAATATAGGCCATTTTCAGTTATTGCAGTTACAAGCAATGCTGCAATGATCTCGTACATAAATCTTTCTATGGCTCTCTAACTACTTCCTTAGGATAATTCCTAGAAGTAGAATGACAGGGTTAAAGAGTGTGAACCCTCACCTAATTCTTAAGAGTATACAAACATAGTTGTTTTTTATCATGATTTAATTCAAAGTCAGCAAAAGGAGATGAACACTGGCTGGCAGAGAACATGGTTTGCAGAGTGGAGCGGTCTCTGAGCCGGCTGTACGCGTCTCAGGCAGGAACGGCTGCTCTTTGCCCCACCCCCTCCCAATCCTGCACCTCAAGGATGCCCAGCAGAGGTGACGGTTCCAGTCACAGAACGCTGCTGCGTACAGTCCGGTACCGTGATTTAATTATGCCTTTCAAGGCAAAGGCACAGATATTGTCAAGCTCAGTCAAATCTTACAATAATCATGCTTTCAAAGACAGTTCACAGTTTGTCAAGTCATCCAACAGACCATCAAAGGTCAGGAGAGCGAGAAGTATGCACTACTAGTTAAACTAGGAAAACTGGGCCCCATTTGCTCCCCGGGATGCCACACAAACTGGTGCCTCAGGTTGAGCACCGAGAAGGAAGAGGAAGGAAACACACGTACTGGCACTAAACTACTGAGTGAGCTAATCTGTTTTTATCCAGGCTGCAAAGCACCCCCTGAGTAAGAACTAGGCATAAGTTTTATTTAAAAAAAAAAAAAAAAAAAAAAAAGGACCAACTTAACTAGTAGAAAGATAGGCCAATGCAGAACTCTCTAGAAAATAAACCTTATTGGACAATTTATTTCTCTACACTTCAAAAGTAATCTGTCAGCTTCTATGATAGATTTGGAATTTAACATATAACCTACCAAGTTAGCTTATACAGAATCAAATATAAAGTATATAAAAAGGCTTCAGAAATCATTAGTGCTTCATACATTTAAATTATTAAAATTAAGATACTGAAAAATTAGGATTCTCTTCAATTAGTTTAATGTGATATTTTAAAAGGGAAAAATAGGCTTTCTTTTTAATCAGATAGCAATTCTGAGATACATGTTAATTTCTAAAAAAAAATGTTCTATTTTTGATCCAAAATCATCACCAAATTTCAACTTTTTAAAATTCCAACTCTTTTCTTTCTCCTGCCATATAACATGCTTTTAAACAAGTAAAATATACAGCCATATCTGAACTAGTCTCTGTTTTGTTCAAACAGAAAACATCAAGCAAATAGGAGCACTGCTCTCTACATAAAGAAACCTGCTCCCTTTAATTATTAAAATCAGCAAAAAGCGCTGGCAGTTGAACTTTTAAAAACCAGCAAATAAATGTTTGTAAGGAAGGTGCAAATGCCTTTAATCAAAACATTGCTCCTGTTAATATTATATTCCACACAAAATAACAACTGTCTCTGCCACAGACAGCTAGCCACTCCTGTACTTTGCTGCTCTGTTATTTAGGAAATGACCAAGTCCTTTTTCAGAAACTAAGTGGTTAATATCATGTGATTACTTTTCTAAGAGTTCTAAACAAAGCCGGTTCTGTGAGGATCTATTGACTGATCCAAGAAAGGAGTTAAGTCAAGACGGAAGCAGACAGTGCCAGGCCACTGATCAGAAAGAGGACGATGCTCCTCAGAAGAGGGGTCAGACCCTGCATGGCATCCCCTGGAGGGAGCGGCCCCAGGGCCAGGCACGCCCGTGAAGCATGACAGAGTGGCAGTGACCAAGAAGAGATAAGATGACCCAGGGATGGAAGGGCTGCACCTCATCTCCTGGGTGCCTCCCAGGACAGCAGGCAGCGCCTGGCCTCCAGTCCACTCCTGAGGGCAGGAAAACACCTCGACCCCAGGCCCAGCTCCCACTCACTCGTCCAGGCGGATGTCTGCATGTACCTGCTGAGGTGCCTGGGGGTCAGTGAAAGCCACACCCACTGCAGGGCCCCTTCCAGCCCCTGAGAGACTGATTCTGAGGCCGCACACCATAGGCCTGGCCACCCACCATGGTCTGTACTCTCTGCTGATGCCCAGCTCCTGGACCGCAGCTGAAAGCCAGGAGCCACAGCAGGGCCTCTGGAGCTTCAGCCTCAGCCTCCGACGTCAGTAACTGCTCAGCCGCCATGTCAGCCCATCCTCCAAAGTGAACGAACAAAAACCAGCTCTCAAAGGGGCCTCCGTAGGACCTGGAACAGAACCAGAACACATGGCAGCCGGGCAACTTGATTGCTTTTTCCTTTAGGTTCTTAAAGCAACTTGTGTTTGTGAATGGTTGGCTTCAATTGTTCTTATCCACTGAAGTACAACTTGCAAGGAATACGAGTTAGCCTCAGAAAAAGAGCTCACAATGCCGCCCTGAACCTGTCACAGGACTTTCAATGGCATGCCTCTCAAAACCTCATGTGCCCTGAGGACCTCAGACATTTAAATCTTTAAATCAAGGTCATGCAGGGACACTGAGTGCAAACAGGCCTTCGAGAAAGGAAGGTTTTGGCCCATGATCATCAAGAACGACGCAAGATGAGAACCTGCAGGCCCACGGCTCTGCCTTCTGCGTGGCCTGCACAGCCGGGCTGCTGTGGAGAGTGGGGCCCCTCAGCCACCAGGCAGCCGCCCAGGTAGCCCCAAGCAAGAAACGAGGGGGCTCCCTGGGGTCCAGACGGAGACCAGAGAAGGGACACAGGCCGAAACACGTGCTATTCCTTTTCTCACAAGACAAAAGCTTCTGGTCAGTATTTTGGCAATTATGAATTTTTAATGAGCTGTATATTGTACTCTTTCCTGGCATCAAGTATACATCAATGCTGAAAAGTTAAAGCTTTTGTGAAGCTATCCTTTTGTCACACAGGGAACCGGGAGTGGCAATAAAGGGTAGGCTCTGCTTAAGGTAAGGACCCACTAATTTTGCATAGTGACAGTCCTAGCAGTTTAACATCTCCCCTGGGAGAAATGGAGCAGGACTGGCCTGAGATTAGCATAGAGCAGAACTTTCCTTCTGAACTGGGGAAGCTCCTAGAACAGGAAAGCTCTGAGCCCCTCTGCAGCGCTCCGTCTTTGCTGGATCTGGGTGCGTGGTCCCCTGCTTGGCCCGTGGAATCCCCAAGCCAGCGCTGTTCCCACCTCTCCTAGTCACTGCTCTCCTCCTGTTCAAGTCCTCCCCGAAAACAAGTTCTGAAATCTAACTTGCAAAACAATGACAGAAAAGGAAGGAGGAGGAGCACCAGTCTTACTCCCTTGTCCCCACAACAGGGAGAGCTGATGCTCCAGGGGCCACATGAGCAGTGGGCTGGGTTATGTCTCAGAAGCAAGGAACCAGCTCCACAGGGTCTCCTTCCTGCAGGCCTCATGGACGAGTGAGCTGAGCAAGGGCTCCCCCATGCTCGCTGCCCCCACATGGGCATCCCTCCTGGATCACGGCTCAAGGCCTGGTCATTCTGCCTCTCTTCCTCTAGCAGCCGAGTGTGCAATGCAGTCCCATGGGGCTGGCTGAGAAGGTGCCTAAGGCTGCTCACAGAGCCCTCCCCGCGGGTGGCCCTGAAGCCTAGTTGAGGCAGATCTGGGTTAGGCAGGAGCCCTAAGAGGTTTGGGGTCTAGGCCCTGCTCTTCAACAGAGACAGCCAGAAGGGGTGTGTATGGGGCTGCCAGGGTATGGCAGGTCATTAATATGGCCAATCCTCTGATCCCCACTTGGCTGACAGTTCTGTCTGTCTCCTCTGCTGGTAAGAGTTTGGGGGCAGGGTCGGGGAGGGAGGCTGTGTAAGTGAGTAACTGGCACCCAAACCTGCATCAGTGATGATGAACAGAAGAGCACCAGCCATAATATGTGATGGCTCAGTAATGAGATTATAGAGAATTTCAAGAAGGAAAAGTGGCAACAAATAAAGACAGTATCAGTAGGCTAGTATAGACAATGAATAAGATATGTATACTCTAAAAGCAAAGAAGTTAAGAGGAAGTCGAAGGGTACTATGTTACAAAGAACTTAGCAAAGCCTAAATGTGAATGCTTCTAGGGAAATAACACATATAAGAGGGTACCTAATATCATAATGTTAGAAATTACTTTATGTTAGAATGGATTTTCTAATTTTAGACAAATATTTATTACAAGGAGGAGGAAAAGAAACATTTCATCCTACTGTGCAAGAGAAGTTTAGAATTTCCTTCCCTAGAGAGGTAGAGAAGGGCCCAGAGAGGTGCCCTTCTCCTTCTGCAGGCCAGGGGTTGCAGCATGTGAGCACTGCTTTTTTCCTAAGGTCTATTATTTTTATTGTTATGCTTGTACATTTCAAAGCCTAACACTAGCCATTACTCAGAACAGTTGCTATGCCAGGTATTTACACATGCAGCCTATTTATTCTGAGCTGCTCAAAGTGCTTCCTCCACTTCTTACTCAGCAGTGTGCTTACCTGTTTGGGGATGGAAACAGACCAATACAGCCATACCTCATTCTACTGCACTTCACAGGTAATTGTGTTTTTTCACAGACTGAAGGTCGTGGCAACCCTGCGTCGAGCAAGTCTATTGGCTTCATTTTTCCAACAGCATTTGCTCGCTTCCTGTCTGTGTACAATTTGGTGATTCTCACAATATTTCAAACTTTTCCATTATATTTGTCATGGTGATCTGTGATCAGTGACGTTCCTTGTTACTATTGTAATTGTTCTGGGGTGCCATGAACTGTGCCAATATACGATGATGAACTTAATCGATAAATGTGTGTGTTCTGACTGCCCTACCAATTGTCCGTTTTCTCTCCTTCTCCTTGGGCCTCCGTAGGAGACACAACAATATTGAAATTAGGCCAGTTAGTAACCCTACAATGGCCTCTAACTGTTCAAGTGAAAGGAAGAGTGGCACGTCTCTTACTTTAAATCAGAAGCTAGAAATTATAAAGCTTGGTGAGGAAGGCATGTCTAAAGCTGAGATGCGCTGAAAGCTAAGCTTCTTGCGCCAAACAATTAGCCAAGGTGTGAATGCAAAGGAAATATTCTTGAAGGGAATTAAAAGTGCTACTACAGTGAACACATGAATGATAAGAAAGCAAAACAGTCATTGCTGATATGAAGAAAGTTGTAGTGGTCTGGATAGAAGATCAAATAAGCCACAACATTCTCTTAAGCCAAAGCCTAATCCAGATCAAGGCCCTAACTCTCTTCAATTCTGTGAGGGCTGAGAGAGGTAAGGAAGCTACAGAAGAAAAGTCTGAAGCTAGCACAGGTTGGCTCATGAGGTTTAAGGAAAGAAACCATCTCCATATGTAAAAGTGAAAGGTGAAGCAGCAAGTGCTGGTGTAGAAGCTGCAGCAAGTTATCTGGAAGATCTAGCAAGATAATTAATGAAGGTGGCTACATTAAACAACAGATTTTCAATGTAGACGAAATAGCTTTATATTGGAAGAAGATGGCATCTAGGACTTTCATAGCTGGAGAGGAGAAGTCAATGCCTGGCTTCAAAGCTTCAAAGGACAGACCAACTCTCTTGTTAGGGACAAATGTAGTTGGTGACTTTAGGTTGAAGTCAATTCTTATTTACCATTCTGAAAATCTTAGGGCCCTTTAAAACATCTACTGTGCCTGTGCTCTATTAATAGAACAACAAAGGCTGGATGACAGCACATCTGTTTACAATATGTTTTACTGAATATTTTATGCCCACCGCTGAGATCTACTGCTCAGAAAAAAAAATTCCTTTCAAAATATTACTGCTCATTGACAATGCACCTGTTCACCCAAGAGCTCTGATGGAGATGTACAGTGAGATTAATGTTGTTTTCATGCCTGCTAACACAACAGCCATTCTGCAGCCCATGAATCAAAGAGTCATTTCGACTTTCAACTCTTACTATTTAAGAAATACATTCCTCTGAGGGATCTGGGCAAAGTAAACTGAAAATCTTCTGGAAAGGATTCACCATTCTAGATGCCATTAAGCACATTTGTGACTCATGGGAAGAGGTCAAAATATCAACATTAACAGGAGTTTGGAAGAAGTTGATTCCAATCCTCATGGACGACTTTGAGGGGTTCAAGACTTCAGTGGAGGAAGTAACTGCAGATGCAGCAGAAACAGCAAGAGAACTAGAGTTAGAAGTGGAGCCTGAAGATGTGACTGAATTGCTGCAATCTCATGATAAAATTTTAATGGACGAGGAGTTGCTTCTTATGGATGAACAAAGAAAGTAGTTTCTTGAGACGAAACCTACTCCTGGTGAAGCTGCCGTGAGACTGTTGAAGTGACAACACAGGGTTTAGAGTATTACATAAACTTAGTTGATAAAGCAGTGACAGGGTTTGAAAGGAATGACTCCAATTTTGAAAGTAGTTCTGCTGTGGGTAAAATGCTATCAAACAGCATTGCATGCTACAGAGAAATCGTTTGTGAAAGGAAGAGTCAACTGATGTGATAAACTTCATATTGTCTTATTTTAAGAAACTTCCAAAGCCACCCCATACATAGCAACCACCACCATGATCAGTCAGCAGCATCAACGTTGAGGCAAGATCCTCTACCAGCAAAATGATTATGACTCACTGAAGGCTCGGACAATGGTTAGCAATTTTTAGTAATAAAGTATTTTTAAATTAAGGTATGTGCATTGTTTTTTTTAGACATAGTGCTATTGAACACTAAATAGACTGCAGGATAGTGTAAACATAACTTCTATAAGCACTGGGAAACCAAATAAGTCGTGTGACTCACTTTATTGCTGTGGTCTGGAACGAAGCCTGCAATATCTCTGAGGTATGCTTGTAATGCCTTCCCCTGTCAGGCCTGCTCAAGGGAAGATAAGGATCCAGAGCAAACGCGTGTGAAACAGACCTACGAGTCATCAGTGTTTGCTTACCCATGAGTTTGGTCTTCAACTACTTCTTTGAGCATTTCAGAGATATGTTTCAGTGCCTGGTGCCAAAGTCCCTGTGGGATATCTGTGGGTGGAGAGAGCCATCAGAGAGGAGCTGAAGAAAAGTCAAACCTACTAGGAATCATCGACAGCTAAGACCAGAAGAGGCCATTTGGAGGAAAGGCCTTAATTTTCCTGGTCCACAGAATCCGTACCACCGCTCTCATGCTGATCCCATCCAGAATCTATGTCCCTGGCCTGGGAAGAAAGACCTGTCAGTGTTACACAGAGCTAAACTCAAAGGCTCTTTTACTTGGGTACATGGGAGTGGACAGAGAGACTGCACAGGCAGCCCACCGTAGGGTTTACAAAGGCTATGTGGAAGATGCCCCAGGGTTTTTTCTTTTCTACTCACCTACCCCCCCCCATATCACTAGTAATCTGTGATTTCAACATACATGGAGATTATAATAAAATAATCAACAAGGAATTAGGAATGGGCTGCCCAACTGTTTTTCTACGATTGTGATGAATTTAGAATAAGATTTCAGGTGTATAGTTTTGTGTTTTTTTTTGCGGTATGCGGGCCTCTCACTGTTGTGGCCGCTCCCGTTGCGGAGCACAGGCTCCGGACGCGCAGGCCCAGCGGCCATGGCTCACGGGCCCAGCCGCTCCACGGCATGTGGGATCTTCCCGGACTGGGGCACGAACCCGTGTCCCCTACATCGGCAGGCGGACTCTCAACCATTTCGCCACCAGAGAAGCCCAGGTGTATAGTTTTTTTAAAAAAAACAAAGGTCAGAAAAAAATACATGGGTATCATACAGACAAATGTCTTTTCTTTAGTTAGTTTTTCTGGTTTCACAATTTTCCCATGGTCTTAAACACTTCTGACCATGTATGTATCTGTAGTTCTAAACAACATCTGAAAAAGGCTACCACATTTCCATGCAGTGACAGGTTCTATAATTAAATACACGAGAAAGATAATGTAAGTGATACAATAACCACTACTACCCCACAAATGTTAAAGAATCATAAATTATCTCTCTCCCTCTTCTGAACTCCCATAACTCCTGATTTGCAGGCTTTGAAGGCACTTCTGTTTTCTTCTTTTTATTAGTTGTTTAGATATGTATTTTATGTCTTCTTTACTTGTAGCTCCTGGATAGTCAGGGCTCATAAGTGACCCATCTTTAATGCCTACAAGACTTTACAGTGGGCATAAGATCAATTTCTGATGAATAGAAGATTCTACTGTTAAAAAACACTTCAATTTGTGAATGTAACATTATTTTTCCAAATGTAACATGCAGAAAACTGTTCTAGGAACTAGCAGAGGTAGTCTTTTGTTTATAGATTTCCAAATTAAAAAGTAACAACCCCAATACTTTTTCTGGAGCTCATTCAGCTGCTCACACAGGCTGACCTTAGGCTTTGCTCATCTGATTTAGGCTGTGAGACGTGGCCCTGGAAAGTGAATTACTGACTTTTCTGTCTTGTTATTAAAGTTTTCCCATTGTGTCCCCACAGGTTAAGTTCCACAAAACAGCTGACTAGAGATCCCACCAGGCCTGTCACCACCTCCACCTCTAGCATCTCAGAGGACAGCATCAAATGGGTCACTCCAGGTGAGAACCTAATCTTTTAGAACAAGGAAGAGGAACTTTGATTTTGTAAAATGCTCTGAAACCTCGAATCATACTTTCCTCAAATGAATTTACTTACTCAAGTCTCAGGAAAAAGCCAGGGAAAAAAACGGCATAAAAAGGAAATATTACGGATTCTTTTACTCTTTTCTCTCCTCTTTCCTTCCATGGTCAGATGAATGCCTTTTTCTACAGCACAGAGTCTGTCTTGTGTCAGTGTTGCCTCTGCTTCAGATTTCAGGCTTTAGATGGGAAGGATGTCTATATTCTCTATTTCTGAAATGTTTCCTAAACAGGAGCTCACAGGCATGTTAACAGATCAACATCAGTGGAATCAGGGCAGAATCATCACTTCCCCAACTGGATATGGCCTCTGGAAGGCTGGCAAATGAAATCAGAGAGGGCTGTGGTCTAATACACTTACTGAATTCTTTCAAAAGGCTTCCCTTGGCTTGGTTAGGAGAAATTTCCACTAAACTTCCTTGGTTTCATTCATCATTTTATCTTTTCTTTTGCAACAGGGGGCACAGAGTAGAAAGAATGAAATACAAATAAACATACTGTTTTATTCCGAATCAGCCAAGTCTTATTAGCCTGTTCCTGGCATCCAGGTAGATCTGGCTGGCACGAGCAGAGGCCTTGTGTTATCCAGAACAGACTATCAAAACCCAACTAGAGGCCATTTTGTTCTTTTTTCTTTCTTTTGGTAAATGATTGTAACTGGGAAGTCAAGCAAATTCTCACATCAAAATCCACAGAATGTGAGACCCTGAGAGCTTAAAGGATGTAAGCAGTGACCAATTCCCTTTACAGATAAGGAACTGGGAGGAAACAGTTATAATTTAATCAGTGTATTCCTAGAAGTTATTTTAATACGGGCAGAATCAACCTTCACGTACCTTTCGGGTGTTGGAGTAGCACCATGACAAGAGACGGAGAAGCATAAGGAAAGTAGGTCTTGAATGCAAACTTCAGCTACAATAGAATCAAAAATTCAAAACCATTTGAACATTAGCATTGGAAAGGGTATTAAGAAAATACAAAATCTTGCATCCTCTGCCCCAAAAAGACCCTCTACTTTATGTGGTCAGAATGTTTCCTTGCATGCTTATCAAAAAAAAAAAAAAAAAAGTCTCCTAATAATCTTGTAAATATGTTCCAAAAAAATTAAACCTTTTTAAAGTCACCTTCTAGGACTTAAGAAAAATAAAGTTATACTCTTGATGTCTTTATATCAGTTCTTCACCTCACATGAACTCAATTATATATATAAATCTTCTATTTAAGTGAGAGTTTCCAAGGCAGTTGTGAGATGGTTTTTTTATAATCAAAACAGCATAAAACAACAATGGTGCTCACGATACTTTGAGGGCCGAAGCGCTATCCTAGCTATGCCCTCAGAAGGCACAGAAGTTTTGAAGAACTTTTGTAAAAAGTTGAGGTAAAATCTATAAGCAGTGAAGTACAAGGGCTTTAAGTGTACAATTTAATGACTTTTGGTAAATGTGTAAATCCAATGTGACCATCACTCCAATCAAGACACAGAACATTTATTTTTTTTTATTTCTTTGCGGTACGTGGGCCTCTCACTGTTGTGGCCTCTCCCGTTGCAGAGCACAGGCTCCGGATGCGCAGGCTCAGCGGCTACGGCTCACGGGCCCAGCTGCTCCGCGGCATGTGGGATCTTCCTGGACCGGGGCACGAACCCGTGTCCCCTGCATCGGCAGGCGGACTCCCAACCACTGTGCCACCAGGGAAGCCCAAGACACAGAACATTTCAATCACCCCAGAAAGTTCCCTTGTGGTTGTTATAGTCAATCCCTCCACCCCATCCCGGCAACCAATATTTTATTTCAACAAGAGAGAGTAGTTTTGTATGTTCTTGAATTTCACACAAATAGAATCATAAGAGGATGTATTTTTGTGTGTCTGGCTTCTTTGGCTCAACATGTTCTTTTGCAACTCATCCATGCTATTGTGTATGCGGAGTTCATTTTTTAAAAAATTGCTCTGAAGTAGTCATTGTATGAATATACTATAATCTGTTTATTTATTCTCCCATTGATGGGCACTTGGGTTGTTTCCAGTTTGGGGCTGTTATGAATAAAGCTGCAGTTAACATTCACATTTATGTCTTTTTGTGGATATGTGCTATCATTTCTCTTGGGTAAATACCATAGGAATGGAATTAGTAGGTCATAGAGTAGATGCTTGTTTAACTTCCTAAGAAACTGCCATGTAATTTTTCAAAGTGGTTGTACCACTTCACACTCCCATCACAATTTATGACAATTTCAGTTGCTCCACATACTTGTCAACTTTTGGTATTGTCAATCTTATTAATTTTAGCAATATTAGTGGGTGTGAAATATTACCTTATTATGACTTTACTATTCATTTTCCTGATATGTTTACTGCCAACTTATACATATTTTTTGTAGTGTGTATTCAAGTCTTTTGTCCATTTTTAAAACTGAGTTGTCTCTTATGTTCTTGAGTTGTAAGAGATCTTTATATATTCTGGATATAAGTCCCCTGTCAGATATATATATTGAGAATATTTTTTACCTGCTGGTGGATTGCTTTTTCATTTTCTTAAGGATGTCTACAAACACCAGAAGTTTTAAATTCTGATAAAGTCTAATTTATCCATTTTTCTCATATTGCTAGTGCTTTTCTGCATTCCTTCTAAGAAATCTCAGATTATCCCAATGTCAAAAATGCTATTCTTTTCATTTTCTTCTAGGAGCTTTATGGCTTTAGCATTTATTTTGAAGTCTATGATCCATCTCAAATTAATTTTTGTGTTTGTGAGGTAGAGGTTCATTTTCTCCTACCTGGATATCCACTTGTTTCAGTGCTGTTTGTTGAAAACTTTCCTTTCCCCATTGATTTTCCTGGCATCTCTGTCAAAAATCAGTTGACTACATATTAATATATGTATGGATCTATTTCTAGACACTATTCTGTTCCACTGATCTATCCTTTTGCCAATACCTCACTGTCTTGGTCTTGATTACTATAGCTTCAAGTCTTGAAATCAGGTAGTTTGAATCCTCTGTTTTTTGGGGGTTTTTTGGCCTTTGAAATCTTTTATTGTCACTTTGGTTAAGGAATAAGTATTGTCTCACAGTGACCTATGATCTTATTTGACCAAGTGTTTTAAAACTTTTTGACAAACTTCCTAAAATATCAAATTTTAATTAAAGTTCTTTTGATTTCCAGCTAACTTTGGGATACCTTAGAGGGCCCCTGAGGTATCTCAAAGAGAAATATTTAATGAGGATTATTTCGTATGTTGAACTAAATATAATCAGATGTTTAACCATGCCTTTTAAGTCTTTTGTCATTTACAGATATTTTTGTACTCTGATGCTGTTACAAAAAGTGCTTCATCATCAAGGAGATTCATGGAAAGGCTATGGAAACCGTTACAACAGTTCCACATCAAAATGATGGCTATGCGAGGATTCCAGCACCTACCAACTTAAAACAAGGAGCTGTCCTACCCCTGGGGCCCCTAGATCAGGCATCCAGAGATTTTTACTTCCTGACAGGCCCCTACTCAGCCTTGAAGCAGTTACAGAAGATGGACCATTGCCCCTCTGCTTCCCATAAGAATATGGGAGTCTGAATTTTTTTTTCTTTTGTTTATTCAAAATTGTTCTAGCTACTGTAGGTCCTCTGCATTTTCATATAAGTTTTAGAATCAGCCTGTCAGTTTCTGTTTTGAAAACCATGTTGGGATTTTAACTAGGATTACATTGAACGAGGCATCTCAACAATTCATAAATATAGTTTCTCTCTTTATATGTTTAAGTTTTCTTTAGTTTGTCTCACCAATGTTTTATAGTTTTCCAAGTAGAGGTCTTATACACCTTTTTTTTTTTTTTAAAATAAATTTATTTTTGGCTGCACTGGGTCTTCATTGCTGTGTGCGGGCTTTCTCTAGTTGCGGTGAGTGGGGGCTACTCTGTTTCGGTGCGCGGGCTTCTCATTGCGGTGGCTTCTCTTGTTGCAGAGCACGGGCTCTAGGTGTGCAGGCTTCAGTAGTTGTGGCACACGGGCTCAGTAGTTGTGGCTTGTGGGCTCTAGAGCACAGGCTCAGTAGTTGTGGCACACGGGCTTAGTTGCTCCATGGCATGTGGGATCTTCCCGGACCAGGGATCGAACCCGTGTCCCCTGCATTGGCAGGCGGATTCTTAACCACTGTGCCACCAGGGAAGTTCCAGGAAAACTGATACACCTTTTAAAAAATTCACTTCCAAGTGTTTTATGTGTGACTGTGGATTTGTCTATTTCTCTTTTTACTTCTGTCAGTTTTTGCTTTGTGTATTTCAGAACTCGGTTATTAGGCATATATCTATTTGTAATTGGCATTTCTCCTGATGAACTATTGCATAATTATAAAATGTACCTCTTTTTGTCTGGTCATACTCCTTATCTTGAAACCTAATGCATCTGCTGCTAGTAGAGTGATACCAGCTTTCTTGTGCTTATTGTTTACATTACGTATCCCTTTCCTTCCTTTTAACCTATCTGTGTCTTTATAATTAGAACTGGTCTCTTGAAAACAACATATAGTGGGTCTTGGTTTTTCATCCAGTCTGACATATTTGCTTACTTGTTTATTTATTAATTAATTAATTTATTTTTGGCTGCATTGGGTCTTTGTTGCTGTGCACAGGCTTTCTCTAGTTGCAGTGAGTGGGGGCTACTCTTGTGGTGCGCGGGCTTCCCACTGCAGTGGCTTCTCTTGCTGCAGAACACGACTCTAGGCGCACGGGCTTTAGTAGTTGTGGCATGGAGGCTCAGTAGTTGTGGCTCACGGGCTCTAGAACGCAGCTCAGCAGTTGTGGTGCACGGGCTTAGCTGTTCCATGGCATGTGGGATCTTCCTGGACCAGGGCTTGAACCCGTGTCCCCTGCATTGGCAGGTGGATTCTTAACAACTGTGCCACCAGCGAAGTCCCATCTTTGCTTTTTTACTAGTGTATTTAGTTGATTTTCACTTAGTTTTTGTAATTAATGTACTTGTAGATATATTTGGGTTTATCTTTTTATATTCGTTTCTTTTGCCCCATCTATTTTTTGTTCCTCTGGCAGCCCACAGCTCTGTCTTTTGACACCTCAAGTCAATCAGATTGTGCCTTGAGCTCTGGCCACCCCCTCACCCCTCCACCCACTCAACCCCCCTTCTACCCCTTACATGAGAGCCCTCATGGAAAAGTTAGAAGATTACCCAATGTGGTTTCCTTTTTCAAGGGTTGAATCCCCGCCAGTTTTAATCTGCTTTTTGGGTTGCTCTCCAGTACCTTCAAATAGTTTAAAAAAATATTTTCCCCAGAGTTTATAGTTTTTATCTGTGGGAGATTTAGTCTAGTACATTATTAAACTCTGTACTACTGGCACCAGAACCTGAACTGATTTGCTGTTTGTACTGGAGCCATTTGTTATGCAAGCTCAGAAAAGAGGCTTGTCATGACAGCCTTAAGTTTTTGCCTACTAGTCCGACTGGGCACATTGATGGAGCTGCACTGTGCTCTCCAACTAAAACAAGGGTGAGAGGAAAGGATGAAAAGAGAATGAGGAGCACTGCAGATAAACATTTCTGACAATGGGAAAGAATGTGGATTAATGGGATTTCTCATAAACTGCTGGGGGGAGGGACTTCCCTGGCGGTCCGGTGGTTAAGACTTCGCCTTCCAATGCAGGGGGTGCCGGTTTCGATCCCTGTTCGGGGAGCTAAGATGCCACATGCCTCGTGGTCAAAAAACCAAAACATAAAACAGAAGCAATATTGTAAAAATTCAATGAAAGACTTTAAAAATGGTCCGCATCAAAAAAAAAAAAAAAGTAAAAAAAAAAAAGATATCATTCTAAAAAATAACCAAACCGCTGGGGGGAATGTAAATTGGCACAAGCATGTATGAAAACAATTTGGCAGTATCTGCCAAAGCACTCCTAATAACCAGCACTTCCAGTCCTAAGTATATGCCCCAGGATGTTCAGAGCAACACTGTTTATGAAAGAAACCAAAACCTGGAAATAATCCAAAAGCCCACCACCAGGAAGATAGCTACATTGTGGTACACTTTCCCAACAGAGCTCTACACAGCAATCCCCACCAGGACCACGACCACGCACAGCACAGAGCAATCCTGGTAGCACGATGCTGGAAAGAACAAGGCTCAAAAGGCTACATACGGTGTGCTACTCTTATCTGTTGTTTGTTTTATAAAGTGCAAAAACAGTCACAAGTAAAGAAAACACGGTTTAGCAATCATGTGATCAAACTATTTTCAGAAAAAGCAGAGGAATGATAAACATAAAATCAAAACAGCAGCTATCTGAGGGGAGAAAGTCAAAGTGACAGGATAGAGGAGGAGCATGTGGATACCTGAAAGTTGCTATAGTGGGCCAGGTCTTGTTGGATGTCAGGCTGGTAGATACTCATTTATTAAGAATGAATACGTGGATGGATGGATAAAACACCGAAAGAAAAGAGGGCCATGCATGGACCAAGTAGGACAAAGGATGTCATGCATCAGGGATTATGATTAATCTACAAAGGGGCACTAAGGAAGGCAGGGGACTGATGATGAGAATGGCATCGACTAGAAAGGCAGGCAATCAGGAACAGCCCCAGGAAAAGAAATGACATAACAAATGTGGATGAAGGCATTTGCAAAGTTAAGAGGTTATTGCTCTTGTATCCTGAACCCAAGGCGAGGGCACTGAATTCCTGTTTCTTTTTGGATCCCTGCCCTGCCTTCCACCAGAACCCAATCTGTGCCCCTCACACCAGCAGACACATGTAGCCTGGGCAGGGTACTATTTTAAATTAAAAGTGACTGTAAGAACAGTTCAACCAGTCCAAATCTAAAGTGCCAAGGCCAACCCTGCAACTCAGGGGAAAAGCTGGTAAGGAAAACAGACTCAGGCTAACGGTACAGAGCAATACTTCTTTCACCGATGCCCTCCGCCGTAACCTAGGTCTGTTCCAGGAGTCAAAGGCACAGGTTTTCTAGAGGTCAGTTCCTAATTGGAAATACTAAGAATATTCAGGGAAGATAAAAGATATTTATAGTTATGCCTCAAAGTAAGTGTGAGGGCCAGCCAGTGCCTTTCAGCAGAGCTCTCCTCCCGAATTCCAGGCTGGATACCATTGATAATGCTGTTTGCTACAGTCTAGCTAACTTCCCTTGGGAAAGAAAAGATGGGAAGAAAGCATCATAAACATTTATCATTGCCTTAAAGAACAGAAACCTCTGCTAAAACCTGAGCGGTTTCTTGGCGTTGGAGTGTATGGGAGTTTAGTACAACCAAGCATCACAGCAGTGCTCTCCTAAGTCAGACTGCAGCAAGCACGCCAAGGGACCATGACATATCTCACAGGGAACTGCAGTGGACTTGGGCACTTGAACAGGCAAAGCACTACACAGACATTAGGTCTGCGGCCATCAGAAGTACAGGCCAGTTAGAATGCCCAAAGACAAAAGCGCTCTGGTAGAAAAGGCTCCTGTTACAAAGGTCACTCTAATCGATCAGCTGCCTCTGCTGACGGCCCCCCAGTGCAAGTCCTCCTGCAGATCCCTAGATCCAGCTTCTTGCTTACTGAGTCCAACTGACACCTCTTGATCATGGCCATTCCTAGCTCCTCATCTACAATTATTCAAATATTTCCTTGTCACTCTATCTCCTTTCTCCTCTGGAACCCAATTCACATTTAGGTCTCTGATATGAATGGAAACTAATAATTAAGAATGTCCAGTATTGCTCTGTAATAAGTGGCACTTCCTTCTTAGCACATGCCATATAGACTCCAGAATACCTCTCTCTAGCCTGGGAGGGGCAGAGTCCTGCTTGACAAACAGCATACAACACAGGGCCCAGAAAGCTCACCCTCTGGGGTGGCATGTGCTGGCATGGCAGAGTTCTCTGCGCAGCAGTAGATAAATGCTTTTGGGTACCAGGACACAGGACAGACAGGAACCATCTTGATTTACTTTCAATTAAAATGGTTTTACCTTTGCTGGGGTTTTCATTTGGAAGCTTTCTTCTTGAACAAAACAGTCTATCAAAATCACTGAAAATAATGTGCTCCCTTCTGGTGATTAATCAAATACTCTTAACAGCTTCTTTTTCTTTGGGGGAATGAATAATATCTGCAATATAACGAACCTGCTTGTTTTCTTTTTCCAGAGCTTCTACAAAGCATCGTGTAAACACTTGGATAGTGGCCAGTACTTCTAGGGCTCCATCAGTTTCCAGGAGTGCGTACCTGAGCAATGCAAAGCCAGATCACAACACATTCAGTGATTAACCTGGCAAACACGTGAACCTGAACATGTAAAAGGGAAAAATGGAAACATTTTTTTGTGCCATAAGCTTCAACAGTATCTCAACTCATCAGTTTTCAGTCCTTGCGTGAAATCCCTTTTCTAAAAATTTTCTTTAAAATTGCAAACATGCAGAGCTCCCTTTCTTGTTTTTTAAATTATTAAGCACTTCATATCCCTTCCACATGGGCCTGGAATGCTCTTTACAAATATTTGCGCACTGTACGCCCAGAAATGCAACATCCACAGAACTTTTGCTTTTGCAAGTGGAGAAAGGTGCCCCGGGGTTAAAATGGCTCGGTCAAATCCACCTAGCAAAGTGGTGGAAGAATCTGCATATCCCTGGTTTGTTTTCTATGCATTTTCACACAACTAACCTTTCTTTATGTTTGTTTAAACAATAACAAAAAAATCAACTGAAACTTTGCTAGCTTTAAACTAAAAACAGCATTCTGACTTATTTCTATACTCATTTAGCTTAAAGTTGGTATGTTTCAAGACCAACCCAAGTGCTGGATTACTTGCTATTGTAAAAATTCTTTTCCCCAGTGTCTGTTGTCTGCCATGGGGCCTCTGTTTGCTGAGTGTGAGGGGGATGGGATAAAGAGAGTAGATACCCTGGCTGTACCAGCACCCAGGAAAGAGGCTGGAAACCCTCCCTGGGTGGGCAAGTCCGGCCCCCCACTAACTGGCAGCCATAACCCAACCTAATGTCCAGGGGTCTCCTCATCTTTCATCATTGTAAATCCAATGCCTTTACCAAGAAGTTCTGGTATTTGCAGAATAAAAATTAGTGTGCTGTAAGATAACATGCATAGTTGATTCTGCCTTTCAGAAGAGCTCTGTTAAGAATGGCATCATTTATTTATTATTCTTGGTTTTCCTTAGCTTTCCAATCCTTTAAAAAGATTGGTCAGCCCTCATGTGGTGAAGGGAGAACACTACTACGCTTTATTTTGAGTTGAGAAAAATTCTACATGAATATTGAATGATGTAAATCTCATGTAATTTTGCTTTTCTACCATTATTATTAGAATTTTAAAAGGTTAAAAAAAGATAGTTATCTTAATTTTTAGGCATTGGCTTTTAAATATACATTGACATTTGGGTTTTACCAAAAAGCTCAGCAGGAGGGGATGGAAGCAGAAACTAATTCCCCCGTGGTACAGCCAGAGACTACCACAGAGTTTTTTATTCGCATTTGGAAGCTGAACATATTTAGACCAATTTACTAGCAGAAACAGCACAATACTGACCTGAACATTTCATCAATAACTCTGAATATGGCAGGGTGGCAGGCAGCTGCAGGCTGTAAGGAAAGGACCATGAGAAAGTAAACTATCAGAAGCATTTCATCAATAATGACTTGCTCTTATCAGGCAAATGAATTGTCTAGAACTGCTGGTGTCTAGAAAATGGGTTCATTCCTGTGAGTTAGAAAAAAACAAGAACCAGTTCATAGCAAAAGCCCTACATACAAATACAAACAGTAGTTCTCTTGGGGCAAGGGGATTATGTACAATCTTTATTTCTTCTTTATACTCTGTACGTTCCACATTTTCAACAATAAGCCCATATGATACGAAAAAAGAGTCATTAATTATCATGGAACATTAAAATATACCTTCTAGGGTTTCCCTGGTGGCGCAGTGGTTGAGAGTCTGCCTGCCAAAGCAGGGGACACGGGTTCGTGCCCCGGTCCGGGAAGTTCCCACATGCCGCGGAGTGGCTGGGCCCGTGAGCCATGGCTGCTGAGCCTGCGCGTCCGGAGCCTGTGCTCCGCAACGGGAGAGGCCACAACAGTGAGAGGTCCGCGTACGACAAAAAAAAAAAAAAAAAATATATATATATATATATATATATATATATATATATATATACCTTCTACCGGCATGCTGTAATGAAGACACAGAGCCTACCTGTGTTGCTAGTTTTACATAATGTGCCCTGTGTGTCTGACCGCCTCACATGACTTAAAAGTGCCTCAAGGTCGAATCTGGGCCGGCTATCTTTTCATTCCTGCTTATTAGGAAATGAGTGTATAATTTAGAATTATTATTGAGGAAAGCAGTGGCCACTACCATGCCAGACTGAATAATATTACATCTTAGTGCCCTATGAATTTAGCAGCTTAAATTACTTCAGACGAAAAAAGAATAAAGGTACCATCATCTTGAATGATGAAAGCAATCTAATTTATTCCACGAGTATTTTTATGACAGGTTTGATTGTATAAATCTGCAGAAGCCGACCTACTGTGGCCTGAGTGGGGCTTCAGTGGGCCTGACCCAGATTCCATATCTTTTTGGCCAGAGCTCAAAGCATGACATTAAGCCAGAGGAAGATGCCATTTGGGTTCTAAGATATTTTACAGTAGCATCCAAAGGTTAGTGAATTGGCTCTATAGGGAATTTCTCTGAGTCACATTGAGCTTGATATGACTAGCTTTGGGAAACATTTTTTCATACCCCCTCAACTAGAAAAACATAAAAAAGGATATGCGTTTTCTCTTAAGTTTTCTAGACCAAGCTGAAGAAAGAATGATGCCTATCTCCATAAGACTCTCTTCCACCCTGTTCTGCGCTGGCATTTCGAGTTCTAACATTGAATGTGCGCCATCTAGTGTTCATACACCGCCATTACAGGCTGTTATAGAAGGCTCCAGGCAAGAGCATTGTCACTTGTTAAAATGATGGGATAATTCCTTTTATTTGAAGAGAGACTTGCGATTTGTAAGTTACAGATCTCTATTTTCTGAGTAATCCATACTCCCTAATCCTTCATTGATGTCCATTTTTATCTAAAAGAAACCAACTAAAATTTTTCATAGATAAATTCATTATAAACTCAGTGATTTGGCAGAATTCAAACTGAAGAGAGGCAGAAGAAAGGCAGGTTCACCAGGAGAGGCGGAATATTTTTTGGCTTTGATTTCAGACAAGTCAGTTAATCTCTCTGCTTTTCAGCCTCACTGTAAATAATAACAGTTATTAAAAGGTCACTGGATATATGCCCAGAAAATATCATGGAAGTTTCTATGTATTCATAATGGAAAAATCAAACAAGAAGGGAAGAGCAGGGCTTCCCTGGTGGTGCAGTGGTTAAGAATCTGCCTGCCAATGCAGGGGACACGTGTTTGAGCCCTGGTCCAGGAAGATCCCACATGCCATGGAGCAACTAAGCCCATGGGCCACAACTACTGAGCCTGCGCGCTAGAGCTTGCGCACCGCAACTACTGAGCCTGTGCACCACAACTACTGAAGCCCGCGTGCCTAGAGCCCGTGCTCCGCAACAAGAGAAGCCACCGCAATGAGAAGTCCGCATACCGCAACGAAGAGTAGCGCCCGCTCACCGCAACTAGAGAAAGCCCGTGCACAGCAACGAAGACCCAACGCAGTCAAAAAAAAAATAAATAAATTTAAAAAAAAAAAAGAAGGGAAAAGCAAACTGCATGTCCTGAAGAAATGTGAGTCATCAAATTTGCCAGAACAATTTTTCAAAGTCTTATATATAGACAATGTGTGTTTAAGACCAAACAACACTGTCATGTGACACACAGTGCCTAAAAAAAAGTGCATTGATAGAAAATAAGACTAAAATTGAAAATGGTAAAATAGAACCTTTGTTCTAAATGGTTTAACTACTCCAGAACCACTCTATAAAGTTGATGCTAGTAGAAAATCATTCAATACTGATTACAGGGATTTCCAAATGGCAAAGAAAAGGCTGATCCAACATGTAGAACAGGGCTACCTTGAAAAGCAAGGGGGAAAGCAAGAAAGCTCTAATTTAGCTTGTTGAAAGAGGACAAGAGCTTGGACATGCTCTTCTTTTATGCAGTGTTTTCTAGCAAAACAGCTCAATCAAATGTTTTAAATATCTACAGACTGTGTGGAATCTGCCTGTTCTCTCCACGCCAATGGCCTCTCCTCTTAGATTTCTTTCTGTCCAAATATTTCAGACCTTTGGTTGCTCTCAACCTGCTTCTACAACCTGTTTTAGCTTTTAAAACAGATAAGATGTTAGGAGGCAGAGGAACCTCCTGGAGGTGACCAGGCTTGAAACAGCAATGGCAGAGATTTTGATTTAAAAACCAGTCTCCCTCGCCACTCCAGAGTTGTGAACAGCTTTCTCATCTGCAGCCTTTACGGATGGTTTTAAACATGACGCTCTTCACACTTCCCGAGCACATAATTTCAAGGTCACTGAGTCCCCTCATGAAGCCTGGAGTGCTCACAGGCCAGGCATGTGTCCCAGTGACATCAAATCACAAAAGCAAACGTAAGCCGCTTTTCTTATCAAGGGAATCCTCTAAATAGAATTAAAGTCTTAATTTATGCTCCTCTGGAAGCCATAAATTTCCCCCCTAAATCTTTACAGCATCCATGTGAGGGAAGAGGCAAACATTTAACCCCTCTGTATCCTGTTTTATTTTTAAAACAGGACCCTACATTAACACAACAGGTCACTCTGCAACCCAGAGCTCCACACCCTAGCTCCGAAGCCCCACAATCCAGGCAATTATCTTTCCTGTTAAAATGAAGACAGAAAAGAAAACCTTTCTTGGGTTCCATCTGTTTGTCTGTTTTTCTCCATCCTACCAAAATCTGTTCCTTCTCAAGCTCTTCTCTTCTCCATATGGTCTAACGATTTCCGTGTACAGATTATTTCAAGTCTTGGGAAACTATGTTACCAGGAGGCCATCAGCAACAGGAGTTATGCCCTTCTTCTCTCCCCTCACGCTGCCCCCAGTTCTTTCACTCAACGTCAGAGGATGAACGGAAGATGATGACGGTGAGCTCCAGACTCTGGTTTCCTTTTCTTATGGACCAGATTGTTCTGGGGTGCTCATCCCTTTACCTCTGCCACAGCTACCCAGAACTGCATTGCTCATCTCCTCTCTGCCCAGAAGGACAGCCCATTTCCATCCCTCGAAAAAACAAGGGAAGACTAAGCAACATAGAGAAGTGCGCGGCGGCTGCGTTCTCTGGGCCTGCATTGTAGGCAGAGGTGAGGGAGAGGCCAGCTTGTCATTCTGTGCCGTGAACTGTACAAATAACATCAATACTTGCTCTCTGTCCTTAGTGTCTAACCTGTTTTCATCCCGATTCATCAATGATTATTACAAGCCACCTGCCACTTGAAAGAGGCCCAAGAAAACGGAAGAACAGAATTCTCAGGAAGAAATCTTTCCTTTTTTCTATCATTTTTTGATTCTTTGTGTGTGCGAGAAAGAAAGAGTATGGGTAGAGGGGAGAAAAAGAATACAAACCAGAAAGGGAAATTATACTATGATTTGAGGTAATTCACAGAGAAAAGTGAATGCCTCTCATAAAAAACAAAAAGGCAGTGAAGACACAGAAAAAAAAAATTCTCAAGCCGTCTATATTTATCACCCTTCATAGATATTTTTCCTAAAAAAATAAAGAGAGAAATTTCAGGTGAGAGATAAACTGAAGTTCAGTAAGCCTGGGATAGCTTCTCTTTCATAATCTATTTTTATGTAGTTTTATATAGTTCACTCCGGAGCAGAGTTTCTTTTTTTTTTAATTAATTGCTGATGAGACGCTTTTCCTCCAGTTTACCCGACAGCCGGCAATCACGTCCCACTGTGTAGCTGACTCTTCCAAACCCTTGACAGGCAGGAGCCCTTGTCTTAATATATAAGTTAAAAGGTGACTATTCATCAAGAAGTAACACTCTTCTTTAAAAAAAAGATTTTTCATAAGTTTCATTTCAAAAAACTCCTTTACTGAGTTCAAAAACAATTTGGTTTAAAAAAAAATCTACTTATATGAAAAACTTCACCTCTGTCATGTAAAATAAGGGACCTTTATAAACATGTATTTTCTTTTGTTATGCCATTTTCTTCATTTCTTTCAAATACCAAACTTAGGACGGTAAATATCCCTTTTGCATTTTAAGATCTGTTTTGTTTCAAAACATTCACATTTCTTTCAACAAATTTGAGCTTGGAAAAATGATTCTTTCTTTTTAATCTTTACCAGATGTTGTTTATACTACAAGCAATTTTTTTTCAGTACTCCATAATGCAATTATTGTTTAATTAGTGATAAATCTGTCATTTCTGGGCTTAAAAAAAAAATTAACAAGTACCAAATGTACTTTTGTATTTTAAATTTACCCGTGCTCTCTGAGAGGGTTAAGACACAGGGATGCCAGCTCTGGAAGCAGAGCAAAATCCCCCAAATCTGAAGTTCCTCTTCTAGCCTCGCCCAGTGGCCTCTATCCTGTTGGTTTGTGTAGCCTGAGCGGGGAAGATAGCTCTTCAGTCCCCTGCTGCTTCCTGGCGCAGCCTCTGAGTGGCAGTGACCTCCCAGGTCAACTACTGCCCTGTTTTGTTTTCTCTTTTTGGTTTTTCTTTTTTTTTTGTTTCTCTCCCTTCATCCCTGACTGGCTGCCAAGTCCTGCATCCCCAGCAGTGAAAACAGAACATGAGATCTAGGCCTCTTTCTTTACAGACAATGCTGGGTGATCTGGTGCCCCCATGAGGTCGATGCTGGAAAGTGCAATTACTGAGTTTTTTTTTTTTTTTTTTTACCTCTTAGCTACAAGCAGAAACCACCTCCACACTTTTCTATTCGATCACTGCTAAATTATCTACCTCAGCTTTCGTTAAATTACATGCATCACATTAAAGAGCTCAAAAACGAAATGCTTAAAAGACTGCTAATGAGAAAGCAGGAAAAGAAAACCCTAGAACATTAGTAAGAAGTTATTCAAACAGAGAAAACTGACATCATCCAGGATGTGGAGTTAATTCTTCAGTATAATTTTTTATTAAAGAGGAGCTGTGTTTGGAATTTTGTGTAAAAGAAGTTTCCTTTTCTTTTGGAAGTGGCTATGATTGCTATCTGGAGAATGAAAACAAGAATGCATCTTATCTCATATGAGGGAGGTCAAGCAGGACACTGAGGTATCTGCATGTTTATTATTCTTAAGCTCTTATTAGATCAAGAACTACTTTTTCACCCTATCTTTATTGAGGTATAGTTGACAAGATAAAGAACTAATTTTAAGGGCACTATGAAGAGAATACCAGGAGTGTTTCCTGATTTAAAATCTGAATAAACAAAACCAACCCCCCCCCCCCCCCCCCCCGCACTCTTTCGTGGGCAAATCTCTAGATCCCGCTGGAGGGGCCAGCCAGAGAAGGATCAAATGGGAGGGCATGGGAACCAGGGTATATCCCGGCCCTGGCATGCAGCAGGGCAGCCAAGCACAGTGCCACCCAGCCAGCACTTTTCATTCAAATGTGGAATATAAACAATAGCTTTCTGGGCTCCACAAACAGAATTGTAACTGCGAAACATAACATCCTTCTGATTTGGGGCCAGCCTTGGGAAACCAAACAGTGCCAAGAAAGCTGAATAATTAGCAAGTGGCTTTCACTGCTTTTGGTGACATCAGTTTTTAAGGTCAGGTCTGAAGCTATGGATTAGGTCTTCCATTGCCTGTTCTGTCAAGGGACACACAAGACCATCTGCTTTTGAAAAGTGTCAGTCTGCTCAGTAGATGACAAACTGAGTTAATACCTTGGTTTATTTAGGAGCACCAAATGTGGCAGGTGGGCATGTACTTGGGGGAGGTCCAGCCCACGAGAGCCAAAGGGTGAGTCTCAAAAGTAAACAGGTTTTGAAAACTTACTTTTATTTTATTTTAGAAGTCAAAAACATATACATGCACTTAGAATTCAGGTGATTATTAGGTTAGTGGCTTATTATTCATAGTCTTAATGGAAAATACCAAGCCTTGCATCCTTGAGAGGCCAAAGAACATTTGGGGAGATTATTTCACTTTGTACAACCTGTACTACACTTTTATCTTTTGTTTTTGCAACATCTTGGTAACTATAGAATTTCTAGGGCTAATTCTGGATAGTCCCAAGAGATGGAAACATAATTAACAGTGCTCCATATAAAATACAAGTTATGTAGACCATCACACTTTAATTACTCTCAGAATCCAGCTCTAATGTAATAGGCATCGAGTTTCTTCTGGAGGAAAAGTACCGCAGTCCTGTGCTAGCTGAGTCTTCAAGACCTCTGATACTTATGCACGGTCCTGTCACTGCACCAAGATATTGTGCTATGATAAATGAATCAGATGATGCAATTAGGAAGCAGGTTCTTCAGGTTACCCTTCCAATCACTCAGTCATGTCACAGGCTTATTCCAGCCTGCCGGGTTTTTTGGCCCAGTATGCCTGAGGAGAGCAGCCCACGCCAATCAAGGACTTGCAGCTCTGTATTATAATTACGTCCTTGAACCATAAGGCACAGAGGGGTTACATCCTGCCAATGCCACAATAAATTAAACCAAATAACACCCTCTGGAATCCCCCCTTTAACCACAATGGAAGCTCTGAATGTCTACACACATGATCCTGATAAATGCTTTTGGTAAATCAACTGACTTCAAAACTGTTTGGGGGAAATCATTTTACACTGTAAATTGGAGACGGAAGGTTATACAATGCGATGTTTAATGGGAGCGCCTGCTCTCTCTCTCATACACAGTATCCTGTGTTTACTGAAGTGCTGCTCAGGCCCTAGGGCCACAGGGAAAAGGACGCAGAGAGGCTCAGAGAGGAATCACAAGGTTGCTGAATCAAACCAACTTAGAGAAGTCGATGAAACTGGAATTTTTCTATAGGGAGAAGACTTAAAGGAAATTTAATGAGAACCTTGAAAGCAAGAAAATAGCTCAGTTACTATATTTTGCCACTGAAAAAGGACCAGAGCAAATTAAATTATAGCATGTATATTTAAGTTAGAAATAGATTTACCTGATAATAAAGGTAATGTTTCGAATAGGTTGCCAGGGGCTTCTAAAAGCCTTTGTTTATACTGAATTTTATTATAATTATTTTTATATAAAGTGCCTTCTTATTTTTCACCATAATATGCAACTCTTGTGAATGATGAGGTCAAGGAGAATTTTCCTAAAAGTAACTCTCTTTGGGCTCTCTCAGTCTTTATACCTATCTTCTTTTCTTTTTTTCTATCAGACACTATAAACTTCTAAATCAGTTGGGTTCAATTTGTGCCAGCTAACTTGCAGATGAAAGCATCATGACTGCTGGAGACTACAACACTACCCATGGTCACCTGGGAGGCCCCAGAATGGGAAGGCAAAGGGGAGCCCAGGAAACAGGGAGAAGGCAAGCACGGCCATGGTCACACACGTGAGCTGGTAGGGACTGATCAGGACCTAAAAAGAGAACTGGGATATTGTAAGAAGGCAGCAGATTCAATTATGATTCTCTTACACAGCCTCCAATTTAAAAGAGAAAGAAAAAAACCAGCAAGTTCTAAGTGAATTAAACAAATAGAAAGTGTCGGAGGGGGGGCTGTGCAAACTCAGCCAACCTCAGCGCACTCTAGGCAGAGACTCACCCCCGCCCAACACACGCCTCAGCTCAGCAGGGAGGTGCGCACTCTCCTCCGCCCAGTTTCCTGAACACCAACATAAGATCTGACGGTTCACCATCTCCCTTGAGCTAAGTTTCTCCATCTGTACAAAAGGAAGCAAATCTCTGCCCCATATCTCCCCTAGGTTACAAAAGCTAATGAGAAAACATGTTAGAGCCTACTGAAGTTCCTGTAAGAGGCCCCAGAAGCATGACACCTCCTGTAGTTTTTTAATTGTTTTTTTCAGAGTGCGTTGGTCTTTATTCCTGTTCTTACAAAAATGCACATAAATTCCAGAGCTGCCTCCCACAGAGGGAAAGCATCCGCATTGGTCAGTTCCCAGGGCTGCCGGAGGGCTTGGGCCCCTGACACTGGATTAGGCAATGGGGCCCATTTGGCCCACTGAGCCCCCGACTTCCCAGGCCTGAGAAGTGCTGAGTAGAGGGGAGACTGGGCAGCCCCTGAATGGAGGGAGGGGTCAAGGCTGGCAGGCTGACACCAAAAGAAAACTGACATAATTCTCAGTTGTTTTTGTTGTTTTAACCACTTTTCTGGGGTTTTGTTTTGTATCTTTTAAGTATTTTATTTTTCCTCTAGTGAAGGGTTAAAAGTTTATTTTTTGAATGCTTTTCTTTGTTAATTGATTCCTCCTATTGTTCATAAGATCCTCACTTTTTAAAACTTAACTTTTCATGTGGAAATGAGAAATACTGTTTTAAAAAATTTGTTGTCCAAATGTCAGGTCAATTCTTGTGAATATGCAATATAAGGTGCAATGATCAAGTAAATCTCGAAGCTTGCCTTTTTTTTTTGCCCGTGCCACTCAGCTTGCGGGCTGGTGGGATCTTAGTCCCCCGACCAGGGATTGAACCTGGGGCCACAGCTGTGAAAGCACCAAGTCCTAACCACTGGATCACCAAGGAATTCCCTCACCTTATTTTTAACACATGCTCTAAGTATGCAGAAAAGCCCGCTACATTAGGCATTTCAAAAATAAAATGTAGATAGATAATTATTTTAAAAGGTGCCAATCGCTCTTTAGTTTACATTTTTTTCCGCTTGTGCTGACTAAAAGAAATGATACCCAGCATCGTCTTTAAGGATTTTTCTCCTCATCAAAACCCGGCACATACCAGCAATGAGTCTTTCATAAAACATTCGATCCTCCTCAGAAAATTTCTCTCACTGGAGATAAGCTTTTCAAAAAGATGCAGCATTGTATTTTCAAGGCTGGGAAGGTGCCGAAGCCAGAGGCAGAGTATAGCTGACGCGGGGAGAGAAATCTTCTTCCTTTCAGTAAGAAATAAACAAAACTTTAATATAAATGAGTCACTGAAAAAAGAAGCAACTGACAAAGGATTAATCTCCAAAATATACAAACAGCTCATGGAGCTCAACATCAAAAAACCAAACAACCCAATTAAAAAATGGGCTGAAGATCTAACATACAGATGGCCAAGAGGCACATGAAAAGATGCTCAACATCACTAATCATTAGAGAGATGCAAATCAAAACTCCAATGAGGTATCACCTCACACGGGTCAGAATGGCCATCATCAAAAAATCTACAAACAATAAGTGCTGCAGAGGGTGTGGAGAAAAGGGAACCCTCATGCACTGTTGGTGGGAATGTAAATTGATACAGCCACTATGGAGAAGAGTATGGAGGTTCCTTAAAAAACTAAAAATAGAACTACCATACGACCCAGCAATCCCACTACTGGGCATATACCCAGAGAAAACCATAATTCAAAGTGACATATGCACCCCAATGTTCATCGCAGCACTATTTACAATAGCCAGGACATGGAAGCACCCTAAATGTCCATCAACAGAGGAATGGATAAAGAAGATGTGGTACATATATACAATGGAATATTACTCAGCCATAAAAAGGAAAGTGGGTCATTTGTAGAGATGTGGATGGACCTAGAGTCAGTCTGTCATACAGAGTGAAGTAAGCCATAAAGAGAAAAACAAATATCGTATATTAACGCATATATGTGGAATCTAGAAAAATGATACAGGTGAACCTATTTGTAGGGCAGGAATAGAGATACAGATGTAGAGAACGGACGGGTGGACACAGTGGGGGAAGGAGAGGGTGGGTCGAATTGGGAGATCGGGTTTGACATAGATACACTGCCATGTGTAAAATGGATAGCTAGGGGGAACCTGCAGTATAGCACAGGGAATTCAGCTCGGTGCTCTGTGACGACCTAGATGGGTGGGATTGGGGGGATGGGAGGGAGGTCCAAGAGGGAAGGGATATAGCTATACATATAGCTGACTCACTTCACTGTACAGCAGAAACTAACATAACATTGTAAAGCAATTATACTCTTAAAAAAAAAAAAAGAGTTCAAAATGCAATAACAAATCCAATCTGTGACTTTTTTTCATTGTGGTCATAGTAGCAGTTAATATTTATAGTATCAACGAATATGTACCAAGTATCCCTTTGCAAATATGCTTCCACTTCAACTCAAGAAAAAAAAATGCTTTCAAAAAGGACAAATAAATATATAGTGAAGGAAGAAAGAGAGTGACAAAAAATGTGATGGAAAAAGGCCTTGAGATATCCAGGTAAATGCAGTCCCTAATTTAAGAAACAGTTATGTTTGAAGGTGCATCCTAATGGTTTAAAATGTGGAGTCAGCCCTGGGTTTGAGTCCCAGAGCCACCACCTACTCACTATATGACCTTGGGAAAGTTACTTAACCTCTAAACCTCAGTTTACTCATCTGTAAAACAGGCCTACCTCCCTCCTAGTGCTGTCAGAAGGATCAAATGCAATAATAACACATGTACAGTGAGTGCTTAGGACAGTTCTTGGCACATAGTAAATGTTTAATCACTGTATTTGTAAATCTGTTGAAAATTCTCTTTAGTAATAATTTCATAAAAGCTGGTTGGACTGGTTGATCCAGTTGGTCCACAGCATGATACACTATAGACCCTAACCATTTTGTATAGTTACATTTCTATAGGATAATGTATTTGGAGATTCCTCCTATGTCAGGTCAGTGAATCAGGGATTCTACTTCTCCTGGGAGGGAGCTCTAGGGGGACATCTGTCTAACTCTGAGCCACCGGCAGGGGCCCCTCCCTGTGAATCTGGTGGAAACTTGGCTTTCTTCTCTCAGTCCTGCTTTTCCAAGGCCTCCTGCCCTTTCACCTGCAGGACCACAGAGAGCAGAGTGCTTTTCCAGGTTCTGCTAAAGATGTTTACTGCTTTTAATAAGAAAAATGAAAGCTGGGGACACAAAGGTTTCCCATTACCCAACAATCCCTTCAGGGTCTTTCCCTTCACCATCACTTCTGGGCCATTTCTCTGCAGGAGCTGGCATGAAGCCCAGGGAATGGGTACAGGGGCAGGAAATGAATAGGCAAAGACACAGGGTAGCAATTTCTAGTAGTTCCTTTTTGTTCTTCTCCCATAGCCTAACTCCTGTAGACCTTGTCCTAGATTAACTCTGGGGCAAGACTGAAAGAGGCTGAAGAATTGTAGGGTCTGTCACAGGAGCAGGCAGAAGGGCAGGAGAAAGGAAGGGAGGCATGGCCCTCATCCGACCCTCTTTAGAACTCCCATCTCACCCTGAGCTTCAGCTCTTCTGGGAAGTCTTACAGGACCCCCTTCCCTCTCCATACCTGGCAATGAAGAACTGCCATGGTGCCGCAAACTCGTATCACCTGGCACATTCTGGGGCCACACTATGGATGTCCTCTATTGTGGCACCGGTGCTTTGGGCTGCCATTCCCATGCCACCACCCCTGTTATACTCGATGGCAAGGAGCTGGTAGTCACACATTCAAGGAAGATGACTAAGCACTTCCCATGTGGCACTCAATGTGCTGGGTACAGGCCAAACAACTGGGAACAAACAGACCTAATCTGTATCCTTAGCGGTTTAGGGCCCAGTGGGAGGTATACATACATATATACATACACACACACACACACACATCAACTGTGATAAAGGCAATGAAGGAAAAGGACGGGCTGAGGAAAAAGGTGGGTGCAAATTTCCAGGGGGAGCTGGTGTTAGCTTGGACCTGGGTGGCACTGGAGAAGGAGAGATAGTGTATTTTAGCAGTGATATCAAGAGATACTGGCAATGAATTTGATGAGAGTTGGTGAAGACGAGGTAGGAATCAAGGCTGTCGCAAGTTTCTCGAGCTGCAAGATGGATGGACATACCATTTACTCAATGGAAGGAAGGGAAGAGAAGATTTGTGAAGGATTTACTGAGAGCTTAGTTTGGGGTGTGTGAATTTAGAATGCCTGAGGCACAATCCAACAGAGGCATGACGTAGGTCCTTGAATATCCAAGTTGGAAGTTCTGGGGAGAGATCTGGGCTGAAGATCTGTATTAGGGAGCTGTCAGCTGGCATGGAGCAGCAAGAGAATGGAGGAGAACTCTGAGGGACAGAGGTCTGAGTGGGGAGAGGGCCCAGGTCTGTGCCCCAAGGAGCTTCAACAGGTAAAGGAAGAGGTGGGGGAGCTGCAGACAGAAGGAGGAGTGCCAGACATTCAGGAGACAGAAGCAGAGAACCATGTCACCAAGGAAGAGAAGGCCAGTCCAGCTGTAACCAAGTCTGCGGAGAGGCTGAGGACATGTGGAGGGAAGCACGAGCACTGCGTCGGGCAGGCCCTTTGTGACCTCCCCAAGAAAAGTGTTGGATGGGGATGGAGTGATGGAAGCTGAAGGCAGAGTCCATGAGGAGAAGAGTGGAAGTGCAGCCAGCATTGCAGACTGGTCTTCAGAGGTACGGCTGTGCTAGGAGTGAGTGACAACAGGAAGCCACACAGGGTGGTGGCCTTGTGTGCTCCTGAAAGGTGGTGCTTTGGGCTGACTGCTGATGGGCCGGATGAAGAGGAGCTGGAGAGGCTGAAGGGCCAGTAGCTGCCATTTATTAAGGTCTCACCTGGAACAATGCTAAGCATTTTACTTGTATTTTAATCCTCATAACAACCCTACAAAACAAGTACCATTATTATCCTTATTTTTTGAGGTTGGAGTGGGACGGAGGACTCACAGCCACGATTTGAACCTAGGAGGTCTGGTGCTGGAGCCAGTCCTCAGCCTCAAGTCACACATAGGCCTCTCCACTCTGCAGGTAGGAGAGTGGAGGATGTTGCTCAGAAGCTGAGGCCTGGTACAGGGGTGAAAGCAGACAGTTTTCCCGGGTGAGCCAGATGCCTGGACCCTGTGTTCACTCCCTTCAGTGTCTAGGGAAGTCTTTTCAATAGTCCAGGCTATCAGCCAATTTTAGCCACATTAACAGACGCCTGGGAAGGGATTTCTGTCCAGCTTTCTTGAGAGAGAAGAACACCCCTTGGGAGTAGGGAGAGGGTGTCTATAGCCTCTGTCTCAGAGCCAGAAAGCCGCTGGGAGGCAGGGAAGCTCTGAGGTGCAGGGGGAAGAACTTGGCCGCACAGTGGCTCCTCCCTTCCCAAATAACACCTGCTCTTATCACACCTTATCTTTTTTGAGGACCTATGTGAAATAAATATGTACATCATTAGAAAAGTTTCTCACTTCAGTGAGAGTTCTTCAGAGGCAGTCCCATTCCTAAGCCCTCTGAGCAGCAATATGTGCAGTGTAGTTTCTATCATGAGGTCATGGTGGCCGAGTGATGCCCAGTGCACAGAGGCAGGAGCTGTTAAGAATGATGAACAGTAGATAGATATGAACAAATGTAAAAGGAAGCTAGTGTAAAATGGTAGTTCCAGCAAATATCTGAATTAAAAGATATTGCTCAGTTACAAATTTACATAAGAGTTGTGTAAGTTCTATACTCAAGTTAGTAAGAACATAAAATTTTTGTTCTATTCTCAGACACAGTTTGAAAAATGTATATGTTAACAATTGTCTTTTTATTACCCTTGATTCATAGCACACTCTACTAATTGTTGTAAATGATTAAATCTATGGGCTCATGTTTAGTATTTGAATCATCTATTAACCAAAAAAAATCTATTTTTCTCTAAAACATCAAAAACTTAACTACAATTAATCTTGGATGAAGAAATTACCAAAGCAACATAATCTTAATATATTGCATAACAGAATTTGGCTGGACTGTAAATGTAAATTATATATAATTTACATTATATATAAATTATATTTCAATAAAACCAGGAAAAAAGAAGGCAAATTATAAAAGAAGTGCAAATGGCCAATAAAAATATGCAGATTTTCAACCTTATTAATAGTATAGAAGGGTAAACTAACACATCCAGGAGGTATCATTTTTTCATGCTCACATCAGCAAATGTTTAGAT